CCATTCAGTACTGAGAACCAAGAAGATAACATGGCACGCTTATTTAATAGTCTTCTATTTGCTCTTCTATTTTGTCCAGTCATTACACAGTGTTAGAATTGAGAATTAGGACTCTCTTTCCTCGCCAAACGAAAACACAAGTGACTTGTTGACTACAAGATTTACTCTCCCAGATACTTCCAGAGTAGTATGAAATCCTGGCCAAGTATCCACAGAAAAAAAGCTGGTGGCATATGCCCCAGCCTCTTTTCCTGGAGGCAGGCTCCGTGACTGCCTCTCCCTGCCCAGAAGGACATCATAAATCATTTATAATTTATGTGAGCAGCCCAGTCCTGTGCTACACCCTGCTAGTTCCTGGTGTTTGTCCTCTGCACACTATGGGCTCCCTTCTTCAGTGCACACAGAGACTTCTTCAGATGATCCATACGACAGAAAGCTGAGAATTTTCCCTTTGACTGGCCCAGCCAAAGAGTTAAGGAGGGAGATGACAGAAGACTCTTGTTCCGTAGGGCTTTGCCACAAGCCTCACTTACTTTCTTCTAAATTAGAGGCTTGGGAAGGGGCAGAAAACAAGACCTGCCATCATTATTAGCCTATTTCATTTTATTCATTTGTTCAACAAAAACACTTTTTTTAAAAGTGCCAACAGCCTGCAAGTCATCTTTGGAAACACAGGAGTAAGCAAAACAGAATTTTGGTCCTCATCAAGATTTTACACTTATGCTTGTTAGGAGGTGATGACTGTATATATATTTTTCAGGGAACCACAATGGGTAAAGTAGGGAAGAGGAACGGGCCGTTGTACGTCAGATGGGCAGGGAAGGGTTTCTAGTGAGGGGACCTTTGAGCAGAGGCATGTAGGACATGATGGAATGAGACAAGTGGGTAGACAAGGAAATGGCCTCCTGGAAAGGACAGAGGCCACCGTGCAAGGTGCCTTAGGTGAGAAGCCCTAGGGCCCCGAGGGGCTGGAGCTGGGGGAGCCAGGAGGGAGTGGTTGGGAGGCAGGCATATGGGAGTTGGGACAGCCTAAGGTTGTGGCGTGTTAGAGTTGAGGATATTATTCTAAGTGACATGGGCAACCATTGGAAACCTCTGGAAGATTGCCAGAGTGTAAGCATAAAGTCAGGGAAGTGGGGTCCACTGCTTCCTCTACTTCCTAGGGCAAAGTTGAATGTGTGTTGTTGTAATCAGGATTGAACTGTCAAAGCATGGATTCACTCAGTGCAAAGAGTAAAGCAGAAATCGTGGTTTTGCTTGATTTTGGTGTAAAAAATCACTCATGCCTTTTCAATTGAGATAAATGCGAGTAACCATGAGCCATTTATTTACTCAACTAGTGACAAAACTTTTCGTGGAGACTTAGCTACTACATCCAGCGATCTGTGCTTCAGTAGCCGTTTCCTGGCACTGCTTGGTTATGCTATAGCTGTGGGAGAGGCCCCAGCATTATGCTGTTGCACAGGTTGGTGTGAGCTTCAAAGTCAAAGAGCAGCTGGTGGGATGGTTGGGATCAGATTCTAGGAGGCTTCAGTAACTCGCTTTGCTCAACGTGAATACACAGAGCTGACTCCTGCCGTTTTCTGCTCACAATGGCTTCCTCTAGAGCCATGGAGAGCTTGGGTTTGATGAATGTGCAGAAGTCACAGTGCGTGTAATATTGACCCCTTCCTTCTAAGGAATACCTTCCTAAAAACGAGGGCAATCAGTAACAAATCATGCCATGACGTGAGGAGCATCCTGCCTCTGAATGTTTTGAAGCAGGTGCTTGAGCACTTCCCAGGAATATTCTGAGACGGCTCCTGCTTTGCCCAGCACGTTGGACTAGAATGACCTCTCAGATTCATTCCAATGCAAAACCCCTCTGAGCCCATGAAAAAGTGTCCAGTGAATGCGCTCTGCAAACATACAGACGCTATATAAACACAAGGCAAATATTTTAAAAGGTGAAGAATGAGATACTTGTACTTCTGTCAGAGCAGTGGTTGGAATTTTGTGCCCAGCAACATACCTTCCATGCTCGGTCGCCTGCAGCTTGTTCTCGTTGGTTCTGTACACAGGTATCTGCATTGTGTGTTAAAAATGCGCTCAGCCAAAGACCAAACAAATAGCCAACAGCATTTTCCTATCAGGGCCTGTTTATGGGAGGTAGAGCAAAAGAACAAAGCTGTTGGTTTTGATTCTTGGCAGGAAGCCGATGCTGCTGCTTCAAAGCTCCGGAGTTTACAAGGAAGAAAGAAGAGGAATTTTTAGTTTACAAGGAAGAAAGAGGAGGAATTTTTAGCTGAGATTAAGTTAGAATTAAAGCAACAGAAGACTCAAAACTAAAACTAAAGAATCCTTTGACATCCATAATGTAGAGGCAGGAACCAAAAAAAAAAGGGGAGTATATTCCAGGCTCTTGGATGATTTTTCAGTGCAAGAATGAAAGTTTTTAAAGTTGCCCAAAGCAGAGATTACAGAACGGACTTGATTAATGATACAGGATCACACTACATTTGAGCTGAACTAGTGGTCCTTTGTGATCATTGAATCTTGTCCCTTAGTTTGTAGATAAAGGATTAGAGGCCCAGGAACTTGAAGTGACTGCCCAAGGTCACCCAACTAGTTGCAGGAGTTTGGGGACTAGAATCCAGGACTCCTGACAACCATGTTGTGTTTTAGAAAACTTTTCAGAGGCAGCAGACAATGAAAAGCTTTGTTTCATATGAGCAAAGGGCGGGTGAAGATGAGAACGCCAGCCACAATGGTTCCATTCCGATTTGGCAGTGCATTTGGTTTGCCAGAATGTGGCCTGATCCCTGGGACCAGCCACACTTGCTCTAACAGGTGCCATCTTCCATCCTGAAGCTTAGGACAGAACAGCCGTGACTCTCTGGGCCTGTCCCCAGGAATGGAGGCCAGGACAACTGTTACAAGAGATCTAGAGTCCCACTGCCCCTCAGGGCCCTGGCATCCATTGAGTTTGTACAATGCCTGGGGGGCAGCAGTGGTCAGAGTCCTTCTAAACGACCTGCAAAATCTCAGCAATGTTCCACCTGTCATTGTGGGTGTTGTTATTTGGCTTCCCGTGCTGAGTCAAGAGTCTGAACAAATTGAAACTGTATTTAAATAACCACATTCTATCTACAAAAAAGAACTGCCCTGAAAGAACTCTTTGCCCCTACGCTAGATTAACTTTGTCCACTGAAGTCACTAACCTTTAAGTGAAGCCGTTGTTACTTGTTCTGGAAGGGACAGGGAGATGGGTGGGTGAGTCATCTAATGCTGTAGTCCCCAACCCCTGGGCCGTGGCAGGCATCACCACCTGAGCTCCATGCCCGTCCACACAAACATCCACCAGTCCACCCCCTGGTCTGTGGAAAAATTGTCTTCCATGAAGCCAATCCCTGGTGCCAAAGGGGTTGGGGACCGCTGATCTAATGGAAGGGAAGAGAGGCTTCTGCACAGGTCTCCATTTAAAACCGTAAGGTGTTAGTGGTCATTGTTTTGACCATTCATTCATTCGTTCATCCGTTACCTCATTTCATTTTCTTGTTTGGTTTATATTCCAATTCTGTCTGGAAAATGTTTGAGAAAACTTACAACAAAGAGCGTATATACTATAAATAAAACATGAATCAAGACAGGTTGCAGAGGAGGAGGAAATAGAGATTCGACCCATAAATTGTCGTATGAAATCTGTGTTAGAGTCAAGTTTTACCCTGACTTTTCTAACAACCAGGATTAGAAAAGGAATACACAATTCCTAGTTATCAGAAAGGAGAAAAAAAATCCAATTTCTTCAAGAGAGATTAAGTGTTGCTATTCCGGGGCTCTTGGCATTAGTAAACACTTTTCTGAGACTTTCGTGCACTGATTACGAAACCGGCAACCCAAGGCACGCCCTGCCTCCCCTCCCTTTCGGTGTCCTTGCTGCAGGCCACCTGGAACATTGAGAAAACACGTTCTTAGTGTTGTCACCAGCTCCCTCCGCACATGTCAAGGCCTGGCTTGGGGTAACGGCTTTAGTTCGGGTTTAGTTTGGTTGAAATGATGTCTAGCACAGCTCCAGGATTTTCAGATTTGTAAGGCCAGGAGTAGGGATCTTAGGGAGGGTCAGCAATCGAGTGGGGCTGTGGCCACCCACTGTCCACCAGCACGCCTTTCCTTCTCCTCAAGGTTCCCCGAATCCTTTATCGATCCCTTCTCTGCTGTGTCAAGGGACTGTTTTGAACAGAGCATTTGGAGGGAATAGAGTTCTGCAGAACACACTTTGGGAGATGTTGACTCAAAGGATTAGTAGGTGACAAGCCTACATGTTAATTTTACACACCTTCTTGGCCCCTGAAAGAGGAATGGAGCTCGTGGTTGCATAGACATGTAGGGTTGAGGAAGTCTAACATAACACATGCAAGACGAATTCTACAGAGGCCTCGCTCCTAGGCTTCTAAGACCTGTTCTGAAGTTGTATTAGGAATTTAAATTTCTTCCAGAAGAGGGAAGAATCAGTGTTGAGATTGCCATCTCTTTACATGCCCGTGAAAATTGTCCGTTCTTAACTTCTTTCTCTGGCCTCCCAAGATGGGTTTTTCCGTGGATGTACCAGAACCCTCTGGAATTTGTGAGTATGGCATGTAGTGTAAGCATATGCAATCTAAGCATACACTGCATGTCCATAGAGTCACGTGCTTTAGAATGCATCATTGCCAAAGATAGAAATATTTCAGAGTGAGAAATGGCCTATAGTTGGTGTGGAAGAATATGTCTGGATTCCTGGCCAACGATTACCATTGGGAAGAGTAGGGGCAATGGCTGGGCTGAAGCACAGGCTGGAAGCATTTGCCCTCGTCCTCGCTGTGTTGATTTGACTCCAATGACATTTTTGTAGGCAACTGAAAAACACTGGGGTTTGAGCCCCCACGTGAACAGAAGGAATATGCTCAATTCTGCTTGGAATGTTTTTCATAATTATTTTAAGCAATGACTCGATTCTTACTTGTGCTTATTCTTTTTAAAAGTATTAGAAAGGAAGATATCCACAAGACAAAGTAGAGAGGAGCTGATAAGAAGGGGAGTTCTTAAGGAATTGCCTGATCAAGGTGAGGAAATTAATCATACATTTAAAATAATTTGATCCTTCATTCTTTGGTCTTTCTTTTAATTTTCTTTTGAAATTTAAAATGATCGTGGTCTCTGTCAGATGAAGCAGTGAGTAAGTAACGTACTGTGAGAACCTTGCTTTCATTCTCGATGCCTTTGTGGGCTGCAGGGAATCCAGGGTATTACAGAATAGAAATCCAGTGGCTTTTCTGGTGAATCTGTCACCATATGTCACTTATCTAAACCCTAAACGCTATGAAGGTACATCTGTGGCTAGTAATTCAGATGAGATACAAATGCTTATACGACTCCTTCTCTTCTCTGTTCTTGAGCTTCAATCTTTTTCTTCACATCAAACTCAATTGTTTGAGTAAATGCACAGTTTTAGCTTGGTTCGTGACTTATTCGTTTCTTAACACTACCGTTAAAAGAAAAGAGAGAAGAGAGATGGCAGACTTGCCTCAAATGTACAATCAATAAAGCATGAAAGGCCAAATTAAATTAATCTGCTTTCTGCATTCTTTCATTTTCCCAATATTGATCTCTTCTCATTTCTCTCAATCTAGTTGCCTCTCACTCTTTCACTAACAATGATTATTTCCAAGGTTGTTTTTTTTTTTTCCTACCTTTAATCTTCTTTCCTTTTTTCTCTATCCTCTTAAGCAGGAATCTTGCTCAGAAAAGACAAGGGGATTAAATAGAAACCGAGATTGACCCTCAAAAGAAAATATCAATGTTCGTTATTTTTCCAAATAAATAATACCAAATGATTTTTATTGTTCTGACTATTATTAAAACTAAAGGACATTTTGTTGTAACATTGTTGATTTATCTCATGCCTCCCCCCTCCAGACATTTACTGGGATCAAGTATTATTATTACTTTTATGAGAATAAATAAGATACTATTAATTTGGAAATGAAATAATAGTACTTTCTCTTTTTTTTGATATATGTTCCCTGCAAAGAACGTAACATTTTTGGGCATTTACTATTTATAAATCGAAATGATATACTTTTTCCAGCATCTAAATAATTCCAGAGTGGAACTGAGAAATGCTTTACTGTTTTACTCCTGCTTCAGAGGAAATAGGGAATTCTAGAGGGAATAATGCCATTTTTCTTAACCCCTCACAATTTTAGCTATTTTACTTTGGTTTCTTACCTGTCAAACTTTTCTCACTCTACTTTATAAATGAACTTTATGTCTTCCCTAATTTTCTGTTACCTTGAAGCTATTTCTTTCCTGTCTGAGAGTTTTAAAAATAAAAAAAAATGCACATTTCTAACTTTTTAAAACTTAAAGGTAGGCTTGCAATATCAAAATTCATCTCTGTCCAATCTCTCTGGAGGCAGTAGAGAAATTACGTACCTGCTGAATGCTGAACACTGACCCATCAGCTTTATGGAGTGGGCCAGTGCATTCATTTGGCATCTTTTATTTGGAAATATTTTAAAGAAAGAAAAAAGTAGAAAGATTTACTAGTAAAACTGTTCATAAGTTCAAAGATAGAGATTAAAGGGCAATTTTTTTCCTAATTAAAATTTGTAGGTAGAAAAAACAGTTTACTTTTTCTAAAATCAAGTAGCAATGGTCAACATAAAGACATGCTTAGTGTTGCTTGGTTTTTTTTGTTAAACTATTTGCATCATAGACTACAATTTCTTGGGCCAACATATATTTATTTCTCAGAAATTGGACTCTATTTGACCTTCTTATTTAACTTTCATAGCTGAATGTTAAAAGTTTTGTTTTTTTTTTAAAGAAAAAAATAATTTTTAACCTAAACATAATGTAATAGTTTTAATGTTTGGGAAGTCATAAACCACTGAGTTCTACTTTCCACCTGTTGCATGGTTCCTATACAAAACCGTAGAAATTAGCTACGGTTGAAAGTTCCAGGAGATAAATCGAGTCCTTCTCCTTAACAGCTGAGGGCTGGAGAAAATAGTTTTCTGTCACTTTTCCCAAAGACCATTATCTTGAGAATTTCGATCTGGGAGCCTGGAAGCCGCTGTTCTTGGTGACAGCCTCCTCTCTTCTGCCAATGAAGATTCATTCTTTGCCTTGATCTTTTCAACCTTGCTTCGCTCTTAACAGTGCCTGTCAATCAAGCCCTTTATTCAGTGAGCCAGATAGACTTTATATCCCTCCAGATACCCTGGCTTTGACCTCATCCCTTCCTGGCCCATACCTGCACACCCAGCTTTTATTATTACTCCTTTAGATTCTCTTTTTCACACCAAGACATACCTTCAATCTAAAAGTCGGGCAATTTGTCTTATCTCCTGAGAAGTCCATGGTCTAGTCCAAAGTCACTTTTTACCTCTGCTTCTTTGCTTCTGCATTTTCCCTTTGCGTTCACATGACGGCACAGAGGTGTGTTTTGCCTTTTCCTCCTGCTGCTTACTTACAAACTTCTAATGAGTCACTCACCTTTCGCTCATACATGATTTCCTCCATATATCTGTTCCTCCTTTAACTATATCCCCAACTATTTACCAGAAAGAGATAAACTCCTTCAAACACTCATGCTCCCAATTTAACTAGTTGTTTCTGATTGTGCTTTATCTCTCATTTTACTTTAAGCTTACAACTATTAATATTTTCTGAGTTTTCTCTTTCCTTTGCATACAAATGCTCCCATGAGACTTGTTGACCTGGCCTCTTATTGTCACCTGTCCTCTAGCTCAGCATTTTTTCTTGCCTTTTTTTGCTGTGTTTTTATTTTACTAACATACATACAGTATATCAAGAATTTAACTTACTTTAATTCTAAAACAAATTTCTTAGCCCACAATATTAGAAAACCTTTTTAATACACACACCAACTAGTTAGTAACTTCAGTTCTCCTCTATTTTATTTTTGAATTCCATATTTGTCACAAACATGTCTCTTTCTCTATAGTTGTTTTCATATGCACTAGCTTTATTTCATGCCTCGAAGTATATTTTCACATTCTTGACTATTTTTGTCTGTCATATGATAATCCAGTTGCTTCTTGTGTCACAACTATTTAATGTTCTCTCTAGCTGTTTTGTTCTAAATTTTAAAAACCTGTTATTTAATTTACTAAAAAAATTTTAACATAATAATAGAAATTATAAAATAGAATTAAATCATCATTAACATGACTTTAACATATTTTTATTACCAACTAAAGTCAAAGAAAAACAAAGATAAATTTATATTTGAGTTACCTAAAATCTGAGAACTTTTATATAAAGAAGTGGTTTTCTATTTTGTTTGGAATTTTCCATTCTTTCTTCATTTTTATTTTATCTGGACACATTGTATCCTCCCCTCCCTTTTTTACAGCTAATTTCTTGGGATCCAATAATAGGAATTAAGAAACTTTGGGGTTCTTTTTTGTTTGAGATATATTCTTTAAAAAAATTACACTTTAATTTGACTGAAATAGTTAAGATTCACTTGCAATGGCATTGCTTAAATTATTGTCTATTTTAGTTTTACATAGCACTCAGGTTCTTGAGAGTTATATGACTAAGCAACAATTGCTTGTTCATTCTGAGCATGACGTAATTCCATGACATGTGTTTTACTTATAAAAATGTCATGCCTGTTTTTGTCAAGAAGGTTGAATAGGTTTTATTTCCAAGCCACAGCAGATCAATCATATATAATGAAAATTTGGGAAATAGTCTCTGTTTTATAATGATTACCAAAATTAATTACCAAGATTAATCAAAAATTCCATAGAAACAGCTCTTATCATGCATTTCTTCAAGTTTGCTAAGTCAAAATTTCAATTCATTTATTTTTCTTTTACAATGGTAGCAAAGCCTCTGAAATTTTTCCAGATATGAAGTAGGGTTAATCTTTTTAAGCATCACTGAATTAAAAATTTCCAGAAAATCTCTTTCACCTTAGAAACCCCTGGGAATTATGAAAGTTTGGGGGTTAAAACTAGTTATTTATAATTTAGATAATTATTCAAAATTTTATTTTCAACTGATGTTTTAAAATTCCTCTGTGATTACTTTTTTCTGTGTTTTTTTTTCCCAAATTATTATTAGGCCTACTTAACTTTTCTATCAGTTATATATAATAATTACCTGAGTGCATTTTAATCTTTTTGTAAATAAGAAAACAAAAATAAAATTAGCCTTGCTACCATCTTTTCCTTGAATATAAAGTTACAGTTATATTACTGTGTAAAATTAGCATACCTTATATGTAATATACTCTAAAAACAGTGGTACTTAGAAATTTTCATATTCTCCCATCAATTGTTTGTGTATGTAATTACATTTCATGTTATTTGTGTATTTGCATTCACCTTGTGTTTTGGGTGCTTGTTAAAATGTTTATTCCATTTTCCAGATTATTCCTTTCACCATTCCGTTTCTGAATGCGAAAGAAACACTTAAGTATTGACTTCAACCAAACCTAAGCCCTGGAACAGAGGGACTCTGCTGCCCTGGGATTGTGCAGTTAGGATAATCATTCCTACTGTCTTGAATGGCACACGGATATTCCTTCCATAGTGGCTTTCCCCAGCACTAAGGACTTTCTAGCTCTTTCGTTTTGAATAAATTATTTGGCGAAACAGTGCAAGATGTATTCGGTTCCCATGCACTGAAACGTGAACCCAAATCCTACCATCCAAGTAACTGGAAAACTTGATTTTAAGAAAGCCATCAAGTTAGACATCTAGGTGTTTCTTTCCCCTTTTAGATGGAGATGTAACAGTTAACTTTGAAAATTCAAACGGGCACATGATACCCATCGGAGAGGAGTCTACCCGAGAGGAAAATATAGTAAAGTCTGAAGAAGGTAATGGCTCTGTATCTGAAAAAACACCACCTCTGGAGGAAAAGGCAGAAGATAAGAAAGGTAAAATAAAAGAGAACCTGCATTATTTACTTTAGTACAGCTCAATGTCTAGAACCAGGTCTTGGGCTCTAAATAGCAACTCTAAAACCAGCAGATTCTGCAGAGAGAAGGTTTATAAATACAAAGAAGAGAGAAATGATAACTAGTGAAGACAAATGGGATGATTTTCTCAGGTAGATGCATCTGTGTTTTTAAGCACATTATTTGATTTTTTTATTATTAAACAGGGTTAACTAAAGGTAATAATCTGAAGGAGTAGCCTTTTTAATCATTAGAGATGTTTGAGAATATTATCCTTTTCTTAAGAGCTTTTTCTCAGGATCTTTAAAAAAAAAAGTGAGAAATTTGAACATCTTTCTCTGCTGGTTACACCCGGCCCCTGTGGGCAGCTCAGCATGGAGGAATATCAAACCCCACATGGCTCTTTCAGCCCAGCACTTTCTCTCCAGCAGTGGGAACTTGGCAGGCCACATCCACACTCCCAATATCGTAGGTTCTAGACATTTCTGAGAGAGACCCAGGAATAGTTCCCAGAGATGCCAAGACTTTGGTTGCTCTGTTGGCTGATTGCCACACACAGCCCCTGCTCTGAGGGATTTGCCTGTGCAGTTGGCTATTTCAAAATGTGCCAGTGGCAGTTATGTGATTCCCTGAAGGCTTCCTTAGAGACCTTGGTTTCTAAAGTGAATATGCTTTGGTAAGGGGAGATACCTGCAAAAGACATGTCTATCAGGGACCCCCAGAACCTCCACCAATTTTTGGTCATGGATTGATTACATCCCAATACCAATGCTAGAATGTGCAGGAGGAACCTCAGGGCTTCAAATTTAATGCAAACCTGAGCTGAAATTCCCATAAGTTAAGATTTTGTTGGGAGATCTTAGATGACTCCACGCAGCATAGAAAGGAATCCTCAGAAAATAGACTATTTCCTGTTTTATAATGTCTGCCTCTGAGTTGGATGGCCAAATTTTGTCAAACCTAGTTTGAGTTCTGTAGGCATTTTGAGAACGCTTAGGAACTTCTCTTGCTCCGTTGGCACCTAAATTCTCCAAAAACAAAGGGAACAAGAGTATTTGATGGTCCTATTAAGGACACAGCTGTAACTTAAAATCATTTTCTCTGGAAGTCTATAACCATTTATTATTTGCATATAAATTAGTCTTTGAAAGCCTTAGGGGCCAGGGGTGGTGGCTCACACCTATAATCCTAGCACTCTCGGAGGCTGAGGCAAGAAGCTTGCTTGAGCCTGAGAATTTGAGGTTGCTCTAAGCTATGATGAGTCCACTACACTCTTGCCCAGGCAACAGAGCGAGAGACTGTCTCAAAAAAAATTATAAAATTAAAAATCTATTCCTCTAATTCACCTACTCCTTTAGCTTGGAAAAAAAAGTTTTAGAAGCCTATGTTAATAATCTGTTGGAAATTCATTATTTTGCTTTATTTCATGGAGCTTACTTAGCCTTGTCCCATTGAAAAAACTAGTTAAGTGCATGAACACCAATTATGAGAAATTAATAAATTGTAATCATAATATTCCTGGAACATAAAGTACAATTAAATACAATTGAAAGGGATTTAGTTGAAAGTGTTAATGTAAGTTGTGACATTTTTTGGTTTTTGTTTGTTTTTAAGTCTTACTGTCCTGTCTCACCAAACTGTTAAATTTCAAATCCATCTGTGATTTGTCCCTGGTGTAGACTTTTCAAGTTCAAGAGTCACATCCTTCATCATGTAACAGTGCCACTTCTGGTGCTCGCCTGGTCCACGTGGGGTGTCAGTCACTGGACTGGCCAGACTTCAAAGCAAGTGTTTCTTCCCTTATCAACATAATAAAAGTTGCTGACAGTTTGATGCGAATTCACCAGCAGGCTTTGATGTTCTAGAAAGAAGATGGCAGACCTTCTAGATCTGTGAATAGTTGAGGCATTTTTCTTTTCTTATTCTTTACTTAGAATTGGTACATTCAGTTCTTTCTGGTCAGATAAGTTCCGAAGGAACCCCTTGCTTGGCCAGGTGGTACCTAAGGCAACAGGAGTGCTGGCAGGGCTGACATGCCTCTAATGACACAGCATAACCCCTCCCATTGTATGGACAGTGCACATGCCACAGCCACCCTGATAACGAGAAGAAATGGGTATGAACCCACTTTCTGAGACTGAAAAGAGTATCATCCATAACTGACATTATAGTGTATTATGTTAAATATCAAATGCCTTATGAACAATTTATAAGTCAACAATTTATTTTTCTGGAAAGACATATTTAATTCTGAAAACTCACCTAAGATTCACTTTTGCCTCTGCTCCTCTTCTGGACTCACTCCTCGTGTGAGCTCACTATCATACAAACCCACCATCTCGTGATTTGATTCACCCTTTATTTGGGGAAACGGTGCTCCCTTTCCTTCTGCATTCAGGCAACTTGCTCAAGAGCATTGCTTTATCTGTTAATTGGCTATATTTGCAAAGCCACATCATATTCCTTTAAAATCCTAGAGACTTAAATCACTTTTGAGTTATTATAAAGGGCTTTCCATGAATTAACAAATGATGAAGACTTATTTGTTCCACAAAGAATAATGAGGGTCTACCGTGGTTAGACTCTACTGGGGGCTAGGAAAAGAGGAGTGAATGAAAACTGGCCTTTGCCCTCAAGCGGATCACGGCCTATGAGGAGACCAGAATGCAAACAGGCAATTGCGCTGCAAGATGCCAAGTGCCACCCAAGGCCCAAGTGCAGCGAGCCAGGGGAGCTTGCGGCAGGGGCCACCGCTGGTTCTCAGAGAAAGATATTTCTAAACTAAGACCTGAAGGATACAAGGAAGTAGTGGAGAGTGAAGGAGTGGAACAGCGCAGAAGAGCATTCTAGGCAAGGTGAAGAAGGCACGCGGTGCCTGGCCTTGCTCTCAGTATTGCTGAACTCCACCTTTCAAGTGGCAGGAGCCATGCGTGGACATCTGGGAAACAGCTTATCTTCCAGACGACACTGCTGTGACGCACGGTGTCCCTGTCCAGCCAGAATGAATAGGCAGCCCTTTCTTAACCTCCTCTTGAAATGATAATCCTCCCGTATACCATCCATTTATATCCTGCCTTCAGATCATATGATAATAGTAAAAAAATACAGCTCAACTTAATTCCTTACCTCCCAGATAGAAGTGAAGAGTCTGTTTTCTACTGGTTTGGGTGTCAATAACTAACAGCTGGTTAGTGACATTCACTGAATAGGCAGGGTGCTGAGAGCCTTGTGATCGATGGGATATAAAGTTTTAGACAAAAGAAGTTTGGAATTTAGACAGAAAAACATGCAATTTGTGCATTCACATGCACCCCCCACACACAAACACACACACCAGAGTGACTGACACTCAGGGGTAGGTGATAGAGTTTGAAGAGTGAGGAGGCATGTGCCATCCTCCCAAGGAGTCAGAAGAAAGTCCATCTACTCCCCAGTAAAGATTGTCATTCCCAACTGTCATAGAGCCACCCATCTCCTTCTTCCCAAACCCAGAGGCTAGATGCTTTGGTGTATAACTTTAGAATGTAAAACCTTAGGCAGAAAGAAAAAAATATCCCTCAGTGATATGTGGTGAAGGGAGAGGATAGGACACGTGTGGGGCTCATAGTATGAAAGAGGGTTAAGATCGCAGGTGTTGCAGATGAGTTTGATCTGACCATGGACAGTATTGTTGGGCTTGGGCTCCACACGTGCCGGTATTATGCTAGGGGCTAAAACTACAAAGATGTATTTAAAGAATACACTTGGGCCCTATGTCTAAGTCAATGTATATTTGTAAATTGTATGTTAAAATAAATGTTTTAGGTGTGTATCCACCTGTATCACTCTCAACACTAACCAACTTTTCTGATGACCTGGACTGGTTCAGAACAGCCAGGTTTGGAGGGCCGCTGCGTATAATAATAAGCGGCTTAGCTGTGGAGACGAAATGTATAAACAGAAAGGCAAAAATTACAAAGTAGCCTCTGATAAATGTTGAATATGTGGCCCACACAATAAGGCCGAATGAGTTTAGAGGCGGGAAAGGTCGATTTGGGCCTCAGTGACTTGTGGAGTGTTTGATGGCTGAGGCAGGATAAAAGGTGAACTTTTATAGAAAAATTTTATTGATTTCCTATGGTAACTTAAGTCATTATTATGGTGGTTATATATGTATGGATTTTTGTGGGATGTGGTAAAAAAAAAAAAAGATATTTACATCTCACACTCCCTAAGAAACAAAATAATAGAAATAATACTAAACTACGATATCTTCCAATATTAAAACCCTTTCTTGCTGCTTCATTTAATGGGAGGACATACCCAGTGAAGGCTTAGTCTTGTCCTAACACTGTCATATGTCTCTCATTGTGCCCCATTTTTAAAGAAGTGCTGCTTAGCTCTTTGGACCAGAGCCATATTTTAGTTGATTTTCCTTTCAATCAGTCACTATTAGAAAAAATGGGATGAGAATATATAAATGAACCTTCAGCATCTCCACTTTCTTTCAGTAGCAGGGGGCTGATACTCTTTTTCTGCCATTTATGCAAAATCTTGGCAGAGGCTCCTGTTCTTAGTTTTTATATGAATTTTAACTTTTGTCTTTTCAAAACCATTATTTGTGTTTGCATTATAAAACAAACCCAGATAACTTTTGGATTCTGTACCCTCTGTACCTATAGCTGTGACAACATTTGAGAAGGGCAGAGGAAGTTACTGTAGAACAGGAAGCTGCCACCGTACTGGGAGAGCTTGAGAACATTTTAGAAAATGGTTCATTTTTCAGCACATTGTACTTCACGTAAAAGATTCTCCAGAGTCTCCCTTAGCTTAGAAGAAATTGATTTTTTAACCACAGTAAGACTGAACACAAATCTTTTTCTGATTGATTGGGCTTGAGTTCTCGAAGGTAACTGGAGTCCCTTGGTTGCTGTGGCGGTCGGTCTTCACCCCACAGCAGGGAGAGTAACGTGCTCGTCTGCCACCCTCTGGGGGCCTTCAACTTTGTAACATTTGTCAAATTTAAATTTAGCAGTGAATGCCCACGTCATCATCCAGCAACCACAGATCCAAGGCTGGACCTAAGGCCCCTGACCTGTGGGCGTTTATACTCATCCTTGACGTAACTTCATCAAAGTAGCTTGTGTAACCCAGTTTTATCAAAGCAGTGATTAATGTACCTTGAGAGCACACCCCAGTTTGTCTTTCAGCCTTTGCTTTTACCCCAAACTTTGCTCTTTCTGGTACAGAACTCCACGTGGGGTCCCAAGGGCCAAGCAGCTACCCTTTGTATCACTGTTGTCACATGTCTTGCTCCTCGTTTGTATATGGTGTGTGTCTGTATCAGTCTGCCTCTGTTCACTTTCTCATTTATAGAGAACACTGAAAACCACTCTGAAACTCCGGCAGCTCCTGCTCTACCTCCTTCAGCTCCTCCTAAGCCTAAACCCAAACCTAAACCCAAAAAAACACCTGTGCCTCCAAAAGGGGCCACAACTGGGGCCAGCCACAAAGGTGACGAAGTGCCTCCCATTAAAAAAAATACCAAGGCTCCTGGTAAGCAGGCCCCCGTCCCTCCACCCAAGCCAACAAGCCGAAACACAACCCGAGAGGCTGGTGAGTATGCCCCCGGTGCCCTGCGGGGTTGAGCCTAGGGTGCTTGGCTCTGGGATGGGGCTAATTGTTTCTTCTAGGTGTGATGGTCTTTTGGGGTCTTAGGACATAATACCAGTGGATTCAGCTTTGACACAAAGAATGCCCAGGAGATTCCTTTGTTGCTGCCTAGCAAAGAAAAGGCAACCAGCTGATTAGCTCACCTCCTTAGTTTCTGGGTGTACATACCTCTTTTCATCTTGAGTATCCACCATCTGCCTATGAGACCCAGTTGAATGACAGTGATCTACTAGAACATTATTTAGACATTGGCTGACCGTCTGCTTATTTGAGTTTATGGGTGGCTTTTTGGCTTGGGTTTTCTTTCAAAATTATCTTAGGTTTGCATATAAAAATATGACACTTATATCTTTGGCATATTTGCTAGATGTTACTGTGTTAAGTTTTCAGCATACGTAGTCATCTTCCCTTCTGATAAATGACAAAAGGTTTATACCACTTGGTTCAGCTCCACCCACCGACTTTCTACCACAGTCAGAACGATTTCGGTCTAGTTGAAAGTTACACACTTACTTCCCCGCCACCCCCCAGAGACTTCAGTGTCTCACATGGCAAAGCATGTGGTGTGGTGTGGTTACAAATTGCTATCACGGATCACCAGCAGATGTTTGACTGATCTGCAGTAACTTCATGCAATATGTATCCAGTCTTCCTTGCCAGTCAGATATGCTTACTGCAAAGTGCAGCTCCCATTCTTCCAGTGAAGTGGAATAAAGATGCCTACCATGTCGTCTAACTTTTAAAAGGACATTAATCAGGCCGGGCGCGGTGGCTCACGCCTGTAATCCTATCACTCTGGGAGGCCGAGGCGGGCGGATTGCTCGAGGTCCAGGAGTTCAAAACCAGCCTGAGCAAGAGCGAGACCCCGTCTCTACTATAAATAGAAAGAAATTAATTGGCCAACTAATATATATAGAAAAGATTAGCCAGGCATGGTGGCACATTCCTGTAGTCCCAGCTACTCGGAAGGCTGAGGCAGCAGGATTGCTTGAGCCCAGGAGTTTGAGGTTGCTGTGAGCTAGGCTGACGCCACAGCACTCACTCTAGCCTGAGCAACAAAGTGAGACTCTGTCTCAAAAAAAAAAAAAAAAAGGACATTAATCGAAATCCACAAGTTCAGTGGCTTTTCCCCATTATCATGTGCATATAAGTTCACCTGTGCTATAGCACATGTTATTTTCCTTAAAATCAGCAGCAGCATTCTATCAGTTCACTCCCAGGATTTGCCCTGCTGTTGGTCTTTTTCCTCCTCATAATTTATCCCCATAATGCTCAAATTCAGAAAGTGGTTTAGTTGATGGTGTTACAGATTTCTGAATGCAAATGGCGGTCCCTCTCTTCCTGCCTTTGAACTTTAGCATCTGGGTCTCTTCTAATAAGCTCTAAAATGAAATGTTTCGGAATGATGCGCCTGCAGTGCCCATGGCCATCTCCTCAGGGACCAGCTGTCCTCGCCCATCAGCATTCATGCTTGGCGGGTTCTGTGTGTATTTCCCAAACTGCCCTGCACGCCCTAGGAGCAGTGCTTGCAGGGAAGAAGGCACTGATCTGCTTCTTAAAAGAGAGCCGCAAACCATCACTCTGTCGCTGGGGATTAAGATCCTGTCCTGCGCACACTGCCCACTTCCTCATTCCCCACGTGGTGTCACCTCACCATGAACTTGGCATGGACTCTCTTTACTTCTCTCAGAAGAAAGCTGATGATTAACGCTAGAGCAAGGGACAGCTTTCATGAGAGATTTTGAGTTATTTCCAGATATTTTACTTGAAGATTTATTAATAGACTCATGATGTTCCTAAGAGAATAGTACAGACATTTTATTCATTGTATAATAAGAGGCCCAGCAGGCCCTCGGTGTAAATAAGAATGTGGCTGTTCCAGGGACTATCACAAAGAAACAGAGGTGGCATTGAAGTACAACAAGAAGCTCATCCTACAAGGATTCTTTGATCAAATATTGATAATATCCAATACAGTAATCCTATTGATATTTCATGTGTAACCGTGTACAACTCTCTGCATGTTGACGTTTTATTTGAATAATGTTGATCTTTTGGAAAAGTTAGTTTAAATGCAGCTCTTGCTTTTTAGTCCAATGTTTTATATTTGTTAAGACAGCTATCAGGTAAGATTCTTCTTTTATTAGTAAGTTAGTATAAGTCTCCAGATAACCAGATATCAGTTTAGAACGTTCAACTGCTTTGCCAGGAAAGTAAAGTTAAATCTTCCTGAATTATTCTTTCTCGATGTTACACACTACTAACAACAAAAGTACTCAACCGTGGAGAGGTGGCATTTCTTTTTAAAAAAAAAAATCATGGCTTTAATTTAAAGTAATTTAGGCAACATGGTTGGTTTCAGCAAAGTCCTGTCATTTTAGAAGATTCTTAAGAAAAAATGTAATGTGGCTTGAATTGGCAGTCCAAACATTGAAAAAAAATATCTTTTTCCTTAAGCTAGGCGAAAATGAACTTTTCTGTTAGAAAAGAAGGCATTTTCTTTAAAAAAAAGTTTGAGAAGTGGTATGTGGAAGGGATTCTGTTTAACTTACCAAGGAAAATAATTGAGCATGTTTAGGCATCAAATCCTTATTATCTTTGCTGTGAAAAGTAAATTTAGAATGGACTTAGCTTGAATGAGTTTGCTTAATGAGTTTGACTTGTAAGTAAGTGAAGGTTGTTAACTATAGAAATATATTAACCGGTCCAGATTTGGCGAAGGGGAATTCTAGTTATTATGTATATCTAAAATAATAAAGACTCCAAACCATAGGGACTCCTTTTAAGCCTGGATCCTGTTGCTGAATGAGATTGGCTTCTCTCATATATCAGAATTAATGAAGTTTTACATCTCATTGTCTTCCTCTCTTAACCCTCTCTCAAAGTCAATGAAGTTATAACTGGAGGTAAGTTACAGTAGCATCTGTATGTACGTGGATTGGCTCCACAGTGTGAACAAGATATTTTCTAATAGATCTATGAAAGATAGTTCAACTTCTCATGAAAAAGAAGGAACGTACAACATTGTAATAGAAGAAACAATTAGGAGAAATGTATAGATCATAAAGATCACAAAACAAAAGAGTATTCTCATAGGAGTTTAAATGTATATCCTAAGATGACATAAAGAAAAGGGTAATTAACCTTTTTTTCTTGAAAATGATTTGGTTGAACGTGGCCCTATCTAGAAGTAGGCAAATATACCAGGATAATCCTTTGATGAAGATCCTCTTAGAACGTAAACCACATAAACCTAAGGGCGATTACATTTGCAAAGAAGGGGTCAGAAGACCTTAGAATGATATTCTTTCCATTCAAATTATTTAGGTGCTACTCATGTAAATATTTTTTGTAAAAAGGAAGTTTTTCCTGTCTTGTGACATTTTGAAGGGCACTTGTCTTTCCTGCGTGACATGTGTTACCTGTGTCCCATCGCTACTGCAGATGGAAGTACGGACCAGCATGGCGAGTTTTTCCAGAGCTGTGGGAACAGCTGGTTTGGAGTTTGCTCTTATTTTTTTTCCAAACAGGGTCTTGCTGTGTCACCCAGGCTCGAGTGCAGTGGTGCAATCATAGCTCATTGCAACCTTGAACTCCTGCACTCAGGATCCTCCAGCTTTGGCATCCCAAGTAGCTGGGACTACGGGTGCTCACACTGTGCCCAGCTGATTTTTTTTTTTTTTTTTCTGTAGAGACGAGGTCTCACTATATTGCCCAAGCAGATCTTGGACTCCTGGCTTCTCCTGCCTTGGCCTCTCAAAGTGCTGGGATTGCAGGTGTGAGCCACCACACCCAGGCTGGAGTTTGCTGTTTTAGCAATAGAATGAATGAATGTGCTTTTGACCCAGAAAGGAGCTAGTGATATATACCCCAGCCTCTTCTGAATGTGGGTCAGCATTCCACTCCCAGAGAGACATGAGAGAACATGCATAATTTACGATGAGCCCAATTGTGTACCACACCAGGTAGCTACTGGCGTCTGTTCTCTACCCGCCATGATAGCCCTTCTTCAGAGAATACAGGGCTTTTTCAGGTGACCCATAGGACAAGGAACTGAGGATTTCCCTTTGGCTGGCCCAGGTAAAGACTAGAGGAGGGAGAAGACAGAGGACGCTTGTCCCTCAGAGTTTTGCCATAAGTATCACTTGCTCCCTCCTAGATTGGGGGCAGAAAACAAAACCATTGTCATTATCAGCCTATTTTCTCTCATTCATTTGTTCAACAAATTTTAAAGGGACTATTTTAAATGCCATTGACAATTACAGTTTGGTTACTTTATTTTAAAAAGCATCCTATCCTTTGAGTTTTAATACAGAATCTCTCTATTGTAGCTGGTTCCTCTCATTCAAAAAAACCAAGTGGCTCCAAAGCATCAGCTTCACCATCTACTTCGTCCACCTCCTCTCGTCCCAGAGCTTCAAAGGAGACAGTTTCTAGCAAAACAGGGACAGTGGGGACTACAAAGGGCAAGAAAAAAACTGGCAAGCAGCCAACGACTTCTCGCCTGTCCTCGGACACAACCACTTGTGGGGTATCCGACCTTACGGGGGAGCCTCCGGAGAGCGGAGCGGAGGGCCTCCCACCCGAGCAGACTGCCTCTGGGGCTGAGGAGCAGACCGCCGGCAAATCCAAGTCTGGGGTCCCCCCGCCCCCTGTGGCTCCAGCACCTTCTCCCCCCTCCTCCCCTCTCCCTCCCGAGGATCAGTGCGTTGTCGCCCCCGACACTCCACTCGTCCTGGTCAGCGTGGGAGCCGACCTGCCCGTCTCTGCCTTAGACCCAAGTCGGCTTCTTTGGGCTGAAGAGCCGACGAACAGAACCACTCTCCACTCAGGCCCCGGCTTAAGTGACAGCAGAGAAAGCGCAAAATGGTGAGTCGGGCACAAACCCCGTGTTCTGCTGAGTACCAGAGTTCACTGATGCTCTCTGTTGGAAACGAAGGAACCTGGTTTGCTTTCTTTTATAATTTAACCTACTGGGCCGGGCGTGGTGGCTCACACCTGTAACCCTAACACGTAGGAAGGCCGAGGCGGGCGGATTGCTCGAGGTCAGGAGTTCGAAACCAGCCTGAGCAAGAGCGAGACCTCGTCTCTACTATAAATAGAAAGAAATTAATTGGCCAACTAATATATATATAGAAAAAATTAGCCGGGCATGGTGGTGCATGCCTGTAGTCCCAGCTACTTGGGAGGCTGAGGCAGAAGGATTGCTTGAGCCCAGGAGTTTGAGGTTGCTGTGAGCTAGGCTGACGCCAGGCACTCAGTCTAGCCTGGACAACAAAGTGAGACTCTGTCTCAAAAATAAATAAATAAATAAATAATCTACTGAATGTTAGGTGTGCACACATGTGACTCAGGCATTGGTTTTTCAGAGCCCTCGCCCTGGAATGCCTGGGACTGCTGAAGGACATGACATTGGTAGTGCTGATAAACACCACTTCACATCTGTGCTTTTCACGTACCTTTAGAAACTGCTTCAGCACTGCTGGGTGGCACTCCTTGTTTTTGTCCCTAGAGACTTCCCTTCTCTTTCCTCACAGTTTTTATTTTAAAGCTTTACCCCTTGGGTCCAAATTGCTCACCCACTGCCGCCCACCTCATTTCAGCAAGTGACTTAGCCTTCTCCTTCTCCAAGGGCACGATGACCATCAGGAAAGGACTCTCAAATTCGAACTCCTTTTTCTCCAACTAGAGTGGCCCCTTTAATTCCCCACCTGGTTCAAATGTTACCTCTTCTTCTTGGGCTTCGAGACAGACAGAATTGGTTATTGTGTCTCCTATACTCAGACAACCTCTTTTTTCCTACCTATGGGACAGAATAGCCAACACATCTCATTTATCGCTGTGTCCCCAGCAACATGTTCAGAGTCTAGTATGCTGTAGGCACTTAGAAAGTGCACAGTGAATTGTTGAATGAAGGTGAAAAAGTGAGCGAAGGTGGTTATAGGAAAGTCAGCCTACTTCAGTGTGGTGGAAGCTGTGTTGAACATGAGATGACCTTGGTGCTAGATTTTGTAAATTGGATATTAATGGAAGATAAAAGGTAGTGGTCAAGTAGGCTTCATTTCTCTTAAGAAGGTGATCAAACAAAATGAGCCAAGGAACTTGATGTTGCCCTACCACCACCCAGTTTCCCAGACCAGAAACTGAGGTTCATTTTAGGGTCCTCATTCTCCTTCCTTCTTTGCATCTTATCACTCACAAAGTCCTATAAATATTCTACTTACAGGTAAATAAGACATGTTAGCCCACCTGTCCACAGGTATGAAGGGAGGTCTGTCAGAGTATAGTAGACACAACAATCAGTTCTGTCTAGGGAAGGCTTGGAGTTCTTGATCCAAACTCTTCCACCTATGTAAGAAAATAAAACCTGTATTTACTTCTCAAATCATTTAAAACATTCTGTTTCAAAAAACTGTCATATTAGACTTTTTCAAAAAAGTTTATTATATCAAAGTAGTTTCGATCAAGAGACTGAAATATCAACTTTAACTATTTAATTGCTGATAATAATAACCTTCATTCATTGAATACTTATTTAATGTCAGGAACTAAGCACTGTACATATATTATCATTTAATTTAGAGATGTCTTCCCTGAAGCATCCCCATTTTATACATAAGAAAACTGGCACTCAGATAAATAGTTTGTCCACGATTGCCCACTTAGCAGTGCCAAAGCCAGATTCTATGCTCTGAATAATGTTATAAGTTTTCCAGAGCAATTGCTTGTACTTCTATTTCTTTTGTGTTAGTATCTTGTTTCTTTGTTTTTATTTTTATCATTTTGAGCACCAAAATTTGAAGGAAAACCAAGGAAAGATAAATAAATGTCTCACTACAAATTAGTTTATTTGTTTGACATTTTAATAAAAGATAAGGGAAAAGCCAATATTGAAATGAATGATTATGGTGTCTGTCTTAGTCCATTTTGTGCTGCTATACCAGAATATCTGAGACTAGGTAATTTATAACAAACAAATTTATTGGCTCAATGTTCCAGGGGCTGGGAAGTCCAAGATCAAAGTGCTAGCACTTGGCAAGGACCTTCTTGCTCTGTCATTGCTTGATGGAAGGTGGAAAGGCAAAGGGCCCACCAGGATGAACCTACTCTCATGAGCCCACGTAAATATGGCATTAATCTACTCGTGAGGGCAGAGCCCCCATGACCTAAACACCTCCTGTTACGCCCTACCTCCCAGCACTGTTGTAGTGGGGATTTACTTTTCAACACATGAATTCTGGGGGATGCACTCAAACCACAGCAGTGTCCTTAATGCTTCCAGCACACAAGAAGTATCTTCATTTAATCATAGTATTTTCCAGCATTGCAGTCACTTCCAGCATTTAGAACTGAATATTCATTCTTCCAGCATATAGTTTCTGCTTGCAATTTCTGTGCTGAGCAATGTAGTAAGTGCCAAAGATACAAAAATGAGCAAGACAGGGTAGTTGAAAGTAGTTTTTACCAAAATGTCATCTGGTATGCCCAGAAAGCATAAATGTTTAAGATAATGTCTGAATTTTGGAAATAGGTGGAGCATATGGGTTTATTGGTCAATATACTAAAGAATAGGGTACAACATGTAAAACACTTCCTTAAATAGTCTTAAGCATTCAGAAAGCTCATAGCCAAAGGTGACCCGACTCTGTCCAGTTCATCTCCCCAGGCATTCAGAGAGTGCACTCGATTGTGCTAGGCACCACCCTGCTGCAAAGGGGCTTGATAATCTGTCTTGAGCCCCAGTGTGTGAAGAATGGTCAGACAGAAGAGGTGAGTGTCTATTCTCCTTTTCTGCTGTATTATAATCAGAGGGCGAGAGCTCAGGATGTCATTCAACATTGAGGATACCTATAGTAGAGTTTCCTGTCAGTCAGGGTAGCTATTTTCTTAGAAGAGGTCATAGAGATTTTCTTCTCCATATATTCTTCAAAACTAAAAATTTAAATCGCAGTTCATTCTACAGGCATGGTTTGTGTTTGCTCTTGAATTAATGAACCTGGAGTAAGTAGTCTCTCAAATTTCCATCCAAATTCTTTCTTCCTTTTTCAAGTGGATATTTGAATTAGAATTTCTGGCTCTTAGTCACTTGCTTTACTTAGAACTTTCCCTGAGTTATGTTTAGTCAACTAATGTATGAAAATCTGTCATCTTATGAAAAGACTTCTGTTTGGAATACAAATATGAAAACTTGAACACCCTGACTGCCACACTAGAAAAAAACATTTTTTCCCCTTGGGGCTTTGGTGTTTTATTACAAAAATAGAATAACAACTTCAAAAACAAAATAATCTTTTCAAATTTAATGAAAAATTTGTTATTTTTTATTGTTTTCTGTGCATGAGTTACATACAACTTGAAAAATAGTTCATGCCACTCTGAAAGTAAAGAGGCATGTGAATAACATATGCTTCACCAGGCCCTAGGCTCAAAACTAGTGTGAGTTAAATACAACTCACATGGCAGTTAATGTTAAGTTGGGCAAGTGGCTATGTATAAAAATACCTATCTCTAGTCCCATATTATAGGCTACTATTTGTTAGGCTTCCCTTCACTGGCATGGCAGCTTCTTCAATAACACATATATCCGGGATAATATAAGGCAGAAATTATTATAATAACCCCATTTGAAGGCCATATCCAAAAGTGTCTTGACTCTGTTCAGTTCATTTCCACAAACATTTACAGAATGCACTACATTGTCCAGGAACCCTAGGGAAAATAATGAGAGCTAAGTGCTGAGTAGACTGATACAAATTTGGAGTATATTTAATATTAGATATAATTTTAACATTAATATAACTTATAATATTAAGTATAAAATAATGTGTAATATAACATAACATTTAATAGGTAGAATGGATTTGCTACTTTGGTTAGGCAACTCACTCATGGCCTTCCTCAGTTCCATGAACTATAAATCATCTACCCTCCTTATTTAATACTATAGAACAACTTGTAAGTTATAAAGGTATGCTGAACTCTTTGAAAACTGCAAAACATTATAAAATACAAATGGTGAGATAAAAATAATAATCAATATCATAATAAATTAGTGAACAGCCACTTGACCAAATAAGTCTCAGGTATCTTTTATCCTACCATCCAGAATGTATCGTTAATTGGCATGTCTTTTAAACATGCTGTGGTCACCCATAATGGCAGACTGTTCAAACAAGGATGGCTTCCAGTGGCAATCAACTAAAAATCCAGACTCTGGAAAAGTTTTCCCACAAATATAGACCTTCTCTTATTTAAGATGAAATTTCACACTGTATAAAACAATATGGTCATACTCTGGTTTCTCTTCAGATCATATAAATCTTTCGCCTTTTAAAACAGTATGGTGGTTCCTCAAAAAATTAAAGGTAGTGTTACTGTATGACCCAGCAATTCCACTTCTGTGGATATAGCCAAAAGAATTGAAAGCAGGGACTTGGATTTGTACAGCAGTGCTCATAGTATCATTATTCACAATAGCCACAAGGTGGAAATGACCCAAATGTCCATTGACTAATGAATGGATAAACAAAATGTGGCATACACATATAGTAGAGTGCCATTCAGCATTAAAAGGGAAGGAAATTCTCATACATGCTACAATATGAATGAACCTCGAAGACATTATGCTAAGTGAAGTTAAGTCAAACACAAAAGGACATTATATAATTTTATATAATTTATAAAATATATATAATTTACATAATATATATTATATATTTATATGAAATAATTTATATAATATATATAATTTTCTTTATCCAAGGTACTTAGTCAAATTCATAGAGACAGAAAGTAGAATGGTCTCGAAGGGCTGCTGGGAGGGGTCATGGGGATTTATTCCTTAATGAATACAGAGTTTCAATGTGGGAAGATGAAAAAGTTCTGGAGATGCATGAACTATACACTTAAAAATGATTAAAGTGGTAAATTTTATATTATATATATTTTAGCAATAAAAATGAGATTTCATATTTCCTCCTTTGAGAATAAGAATTTAGTCTGTCATATTTTTCTAATAAGTGAAAAATAGAGAATTTTGAGACTGCTTAGGCTTTTAACTACAAAGTAGAATTTTAAATACCTCATATTTTGATAAAGTTTACCTGTGTTCATTATTCAAGAAGTTTTTGTTTTGTTTTGTTTTTAGTTACTGAGAGCAGCAGATGCGTGCTTTGCACGGTGTAGTCTTTGGCTCTCAGTCATGTGACATCGAAATTGGAATACTTCTATTTATACCAGAAGGCAGTCTGGGGGATCCTCTGAGTCTTAAAATGAAGATTACGTTGTTTTTGATATGATATGTTTTTGATGTAAAGCACTATTTTTTATTCTAGTCTTTGAAAATTGTCAATCTTTATATATTTATTGTAACTCTTTAAAGCAGAGACTGTCACCAAGCTAAATAATGGAAAATTATTGTGTCTTCGCACATCACTTTTCTTCTAAAGAATTCGTTTAATTTTCACACTTTCCATCTTCTGTTGTTACTGTCGTCCCATAAGAGGGTTTTACAAATGAAGAAATGAAAGCACAGAGAGGATAAATGATTTTGGACTGTTGACACACTGGTTGGGGTGGAAATATGTTGAATTCATATATTAATGAAAGAAATACTTTTCTATGCCACCACCATTCTGGGTGCTGGAATGCAACACAATGTGAGTCCTACTTGTCAAGGGACCTGCAGGTGTGGAGAAGGCAGACAGGTAATAGGTTATCAAGGTGGAGTATGTCACAAACTCCAGTGGGGTTGTCCTCAGGTCACCATGGAGCAGATACGGTGGGGCCAGGAATTAAACTGAAGGCCCTCAAAAGATTCCTGAACGAGTCAAGGCTTAAGCTAAGACGTGATAGATAATCAGAAGTTAATACAGGTCAAACAAAAAATGTAGACAAAGTCAAATATCCAGGAGCTTCTGGCTCTTAATTCTTTCCACTGAACCCCCATTGCTATGGAAAAATAAATTTGCAAAACAGAGTGTTACCATATTCATTTACTACATGCATTAATATTAGACACCGTGTAGTCAAGCTTTTTAATTTCACAGATGAAGAATGTAAATCCTTGAGATTTAAGTCACGCAGCACTGCTCCTCCATTTCAGTGACGTTAGCCTGGCCCATGTCTGGTGTCTCCTTTCCCCAGCCTGAAGGAAGCCCGTGAAACTTCAGCTCCTTTGGATAGTTTTGATGTCCCAGAGGGTTGCTTCGCATCACTCCTGTGTTTTGTGTCTTTAACAGTTTCACGACCAAAGATGAGCTGACCCCTCAGATACTGACTCCTGGGCTGATGGGAGAGTCCTCAGAGTCCTTCAGTGCCATGGAGGACGAAGGCCAGAGGGAGTACCAGGCCAGTGACTCCGACTCCGATGGGCCCATCTTGTACACCGATGAGGATGAGGATGAGGACGAGGATGAGGATGGCAGTGGAGAAAGTAAGACCGATTTCAAGAGGTAGTGGGGAGGGTGGGGGGGAAGACGGAAGCAGCTGCTTTTTGTAAAGAACAAAATCCTCATTAGGAACCAGATGTTGAGGTTTTCTTTCACCTCATCTTCCTTTCTCAAATTAGAAATGTGTCTATCCTGAAGTTTTAGCTTTTGATGACAGGTCTTTCTGGAACATGAAACCACTGGGGTGGGTCTGGCCTTCGTCTATGCAATGGATGTGCAGGTTTGTATTTGTACAGAGAATCAAAGCTTTCTAATGACAGAGGCCTTTCTCAGTAAGACCAAAGATGGCCCTTGCACCCTGGGCTATTCTGGAAGGAAGAACCCCAGTGCAGGACTCATTGGCTTATTCACTGGATGTACTTGAGATGTTCACGCACTTAACCTCTTTAGAATTAAAAATAGTCATTGATCAAATGACTGTAAGTGAGATGGTATGCCTTCTAGGAAGGAGTGATTCTAAAATGGATATAGCCTACCGTGTATGTATAACTTAGGGAACTAGAAGTGCTGTTATTGTATTTTTTTTAACTTTTGACCAACATGACTTGGGAGGAATTCACTGTGGATTGAACTTATCGATTATGACAAGTTATTATGTGCACGATTAAACAGCAATTTGTTAAATTCTTTCTAATTTGCATGGAGAAAAAAATCATTATCATCCATCTGGTATAAATTAATCATTCACAGACATTTTAAGGATTCCTGGGTGATTGAGGGTTAAAACATAGAAGGGTGTTACAGGGGCAAAAGGAGAATGCAAGGATTAACTGTACAGTATAAGCCAAGGGGCTAAGTTTTTAAAACTTGAATTTTCTTGCATTGTGCAATTCAGTACTTTCCATGATCTACCATATCAGCAAAATTAACTATCACTTTCCAAATGATGAGGTGCTATGTACAAGTTTTTTCATGATGTCCCAATAATTTTCAGAACACTTAAAAAAAAAAAAAACTAGTTCTTCAGTCTTTTCAGAACGAACTACATCCAACTCAAAAGCTTTTTTTCGTTAGGTTAATTAAGAGTCCCCTCTTGCATGAGGATAAAGAATTTGGTCTGGGCTCCGTTGAAAGTCCATGCCATGCGTAACCTGAGTGCCACTGGCTAGAAGCCACTTTCTCTGCTTTTCTGCCCTTTTCAACCCCCAGGTGCTCTGGCAAGTAAGATCCGACGGAGGGATACTCTTGCTATCAAACTCGGCAACAGGCCATCTAAGAAAGAATTAGAGGACAAAAACATCTTGCAGCGCACCTCTGAAGAAGAGAGACAGGAAATCCGACAACAAATCGGGACCAAGTTAGTCAGGTAATTGCTGACACTTTAGGACAGTACTGACCAATTCATGCTTTTCTTTCTCCCAGAGTTTCCTGCCTCACTGGGGTCCTTGTGAATGGGCACATCTGGCCTATCTGGCCTTTTAAAGTTGGCCTTGGATGGTGAACCACTCAAAGAACCTGTCCTTTGCTCCAGCGAGCCAGTGGCTTTGAGGTCTCCAAAGCCTACTCCAGGGGTCAAGAAACTTTTTCTAAAAGGACCAGTTAGTAAATATTTTAGGGTTTACTGGCCAGACGGTCTCAGGTACAGCTGCTCCATGGTGCTCTTGTAGCGTGAAAGCAGACATAAATAATATGGAAGCAAATAAGTGTGGCTGTGTTTCAGCAAAACTTTATTTACCAAGAAAGGTGGCAGGCTGAATTTGGCCTGCAGACCATAGTTTGCCCAACTCCTGGCCTAATATGTGGGCTCCCTGACATTCCCGTGGGTCCCATGAGGTTCTGCGCTGGGGGCTGTGAGGCCGTAGAGATAATAGTTAGCTTCAGTGGTCTGGCTCCATCCAACTCAGGTAACCAGAGCCCTCATATCTAAACTTCCCCCTTTCAACTTCAAATAAATGAGGCATCTGACATCCCTTCCTGCCTCCAACCATTGTGTTAGGATTGCTGCTTTTGCCAGTAGTAACATTGTAAATCCACCTAACTGGTGGTTTTTGTTTGTTTGTTTCTTTTTTGAGACAGAGTCTCACTCTGTTGCCCAGGCCAGAGTGCCGTGGCGTCAGCCTAGCTCACAGCAACCTCAAACTCCTGGGCTCAAGCAATCCTCCTGCCTCAGCCTCCCATGTAGCTAGGACTATAGGCATGCACCACCATGCCCGGCTATTTTCTATGTATATTTTTAGTTGTCCGGCTAATTTCTTTCTAATTTTAGTAGAGATAGGGTCTCACTCTTGCTCAGGCTGGTCTCGAACTCCTGAGCTCAAATGATCCTCCTATCTTGGCCTCCCAGAGTGCTGGGATTACAGCCATGAGCCACCGCATCTGGCCTTAACTGGCAGTTTTAATAGAAGTGAGTGTTCGTTCACACCGAAGCTCTTAGTTTTGATGATCAGATTAGCACATGGAAGAATTAGTTATTCTGCTGACTTCTCTCACTCTGCATATACAGCGGGGGACATAATTGGGAGGAGGGAACAGTCTGGAAAACCAGAGCAGCATGTGGAAGTAGGAGGAAATTGCTGTTCTTGCTTGGAAGAGGTATAACGGGAGGGAGAGGCGGCATGGAGGGGTTCCGGAGGTCATTGATTGTTTCTCCAGAGGAACAGTAACCCCCTAAGACACCTTCTTATAGCCGAGGCATGGAAAAAGAGCTCAGAGACAGCAGCTGTGGCATCCATATGAAGGGACATCTCAGCCTAACAGAGGATCTCGGAAGAGTCTGAGAGGGTCTCTGCTCAGGAGCCAGTGGTCTCCTCAGTCTGGTCTTCTCACTTCAGCCCTAAACTTTGGCCATTTACTGCCACTTCTGCCCTAGGAAAAAGTCAGCAGAAGTAACAGAAACACAAGTGATTAACAGGATCGAGCTGGAAAGATCTACAGGTTTAAACTTGTCATTTTACCAAGTAAAAACAAGGGGCCCCTCTGAGGCCCAGAGAGATTAAGGAAATTTCTCAAGGACATGCGGTTACTTAGTAGCAGAACTGGGATTAGAATTTCATTCCTGGGCTCTCTGCCCAATTTTCTTTTTCATGATTTCCCCTGTTTTGTGCTTTCTACACTATATAAGAGAGTATATGCTTGTAGGGTTTTTTTGTCTGTTTGTTTTATTGCCCTTGTTTATGTTTTGCTGTGAAGAAAAATTTAAATCATTGAATAATATTTGCATGAAAGAATAATGCAACATGAGGTATATCCCTTAAAAACAATATCATCATAGTTTATTAGATTAAGAGGTAAAAAGATGAAGGATTGCATACCCGTCTCAATAAACATCAATGTGGCATTAAAGAAAATTTGTGTATCTTTGTTAAAATCCTAAACAAATCAGTAATAGAGGAGTTTTTTTATGCTAAATATCTTAGTATATGGAGAAACCCTAAAGTCATTTTCTTTAAAAATAGAAGCAAACAAAGATTTCCCTCTCTTATTGTACTAAAAGTCTTATCATAATTATTTGTAGTGAAGAAAAGGTATAAATTACAACAAAGGTATAAATTACAAAATTACAACAGTATAAAAATACTGTTATCATACCTAGTTACACACCTAGAAAACTCTGAAAAATTGACCAAAAATTGTTATATATAATAATTTCAGCAGGTTCATATGATGTAAGATTAATCTATAAAAATCAACATTATATTCATATGACATTAACACATAGCAAAAAAATACCATGAAAAAGGGAAGGCATTTACAGTAGCAGCAACAACCACATTTTAAACACTAAATTATTCATTTAACTTGGGGCCCAAGAAATCCATTTCCAGAAAATCATAATGGAACAAATGAAAAAATTAATGAGTGAATGGAGAGAGAGAGTAAACGTTTTTATCAATGAGAAAAATTCAGCAGACAGGTTTATCCATTGTGTGGGTGGCATGAAGTTCAAAGGATAACAGGTGTACTTTATAGAATCAGGGCATAAATAATGGATTAATCTATAAAATGAAACCAAATAGAAATAAATGTCACCTTTTTCAATGTGGGCCAAAGGAAAACCATCCACCAAGACAGGTCGAGGGGCCTGTGGCCAATGTTTGAGACCCTGGTAAACTCAATGAGAATCACTATGACAGTCATCCTGAGAAGTGGCTGTTTGACACCAGAGTATAGGCTTATCCAGAACTGGTGGAAACACAGTCAGCTGAATAAGGCAGGGGACAGCCCCTCGTTGGCTGCATCTGTAAAACAGTTAAACAAACCAAGAGCTTGGGAGGATTAACGGAAATGATACATTTTAAGGTACTTTAGTGCCTAGATCATAGCAAACACTCAATAAAATTAGTTTCTTATTATCAATTTAAATTACTATACATCTCTTAAACTTGTAAGGCACATTTAAAAATTAAACTCAGTGTTGACAAGTTTATGGGTAAATAGGACATATACATTGCTCTTATGCAGTAATTCTTAAGAACAGATTAACAATATGATTAAAAAAATTATAAAGCAGTCTCTTTTTTTGCATGGTAATTCCATTTGGGGGGCTATATAAGAAGGAAATAATCCAAAAGGAAAAAAATCCTGTTTTACAAAGATGCTTATTACAAGGCTATTTATGGTAATGACAGATTAAAACAAACGAAGGGCCTAAAAACAGAGGACTGATGAAGAACATTGTGAGAACTTGACACTGTGGAATCCCATGGAGCATCAGTTTTCTAACTGCTTCATCAAGGATTCCTTAGAGATGATACCCAGGTGTCCCTGGGAGAGCCAGGGAAGTATAGGTGTGTGTTGGCTAGGATGGGAGGAGACTTCTCTATCCCAGGTCTAACCATCCAACTGAGATATCTTCTGTCTCTCTTATATATTAGGATTCCACCCCAACACCCAAATGTTTGAAAGCCTTTGTAAATACGCACGCAGACTATACCTATCAAAAATTTTAACAGAGCAGGGTTTTTACTGTTATTAATGTTTAAATTTTGCAGAATTTTTTTTTCTACAAACACAGCACATCTAATCATTGCCATTGAAAGATAAATTACCCACAGTTCCAGCCTTAGGGAACTCCATGTGAAATGAAAGAAAGGAAATGATACAATATATTGCATGGTATTAGTTGTGTGAAAAGCACAAGAAACTAAGTCAAAGGACCTAGTTATGAATCCTGGCACCAGCATTCAGTAGTGTTTTGTCTTACGCGAATTAATCTCTCATTTCCTTGTCTGTAAAATGGGAATTGGCTACTACCTTGCTGAATGGGTTTGAGGTTTCAAGACAGTGTAAATTAAGCACCTAGCTGAGTACCTAGGACTTTAAAAGTATGAGTAAATGATAGCTATAATTATTGTTTTTATAATTACCTATGTGATAAATGCTTTAATAGGTGTGTATAAACCACTACCTATGGGCAAAGTGTCAGGAGTGTTTAATTCTCACTTGCAGGAGAGATCAAACATTTACCTTCAAAGTTCAATCATTTGTTTCAATCATTTGTAAGATTTCAGTAGGTGGAGAAGGAGAGAAAGGCATTCTAGAGGGAAGAAACTTTATAAATAATAATCAAAGAAGGATGGTATATTGAGTACATGATATAGAGTACAGCACATTGGTGGTACAAATAGGTAGTATAAGGGTACTTGAGAGGCACAGTGTCCGGCTGGCATAGATGTTCACTGGGCTCTTTTGTGGACTCAGTTACTTAAGTTGATTTCAGGGTAGCTCTGATCAAGATTAAATTTTAACAAAATTTTTAATGAGATATTTAAAATACCATTACTGTCCATTCTACATACCATTTCTGTCATAGCTAAGATATTTAGAATTGGTAATATCTTTTATTAAGATTACCTTTCATGTATATTAATCCAATTTGTACAAAGTAAACCCACGTCCAGAGGAAGTTTTTCTCTGTGATCAACAACAAATTGATGATGTAAATAAGACCTAGATCTAAGTTATAAAGGGTTATTAGGACATTCAACTTTTATTTACAAATAGATAACTACTAATCACAAATGAACTTGGATTTTCTTGAAGGCAGATGGGAAGAGCCTATAACTTTATATATAATAGATTTATTTGAGGTCACAAAAGCACTCACTGTGTAGTATAGATTGGTTATCTACTGAGTAGATATGAACTGGGTTTTTTTTTTAAATTTGTCTTTTTATTTCTGTTTTTTAGAGACAAGGTCTTGTACTGTTGCCCAGGCTAGAGTGCAGTGGTGCTATCATAGCTCACTGCAGCCTTGAACTCCTGGGCTTAAGCAATCCTCCTGCATCAGCTTCCTGAGTAGCTGGGACCATAGGCACCCGCCACCACCACACCTAGCTAATTGTTTTTTTAAAATTATTTTTGTAGAGATAGGGTCTTGCTATATGGCCCAGGTTGGTCTCAAACTCCTGGCCTCAAGTCATCCTCCTGCCTCAGCCTCCCAAGTAGCTGGGATAACAGGCATGTGTTGTATGAATTCGAGCAGCAGCCTATTTTAGACTCATAATGATTTATATATTAATCGGGCTATTGGCTAAAACTGCTGTAACATAGACCAAAAAGTACAATGGTTCAAACAAGGTATGTTTATTTCTTCTTCACACAAGGAACCCAGGTTCCTTTTGTCTTATTGCTTTTCCGTCCCCTTGGATGGTCTCATCTGCATAATCAAAGCTGGCTCACACCACCAGTAAGTGGTGTAAGTGTAAGTTATGGCCTGTGGAAGAAGGAAAGAGAAAAAAGGGAATACAGACCCAGTCATTTTAAGAGTACAAAGTAGAAGTTTACAAATATGATTCTGGTCACATCCCATTGCAGAAACTCACATAACCACACCTGGTTTCTGGGCAGGCAGAAGTCTGTAGCCAGGTACCTACCTACAATTCAGGCAGATCTAAAAGGAAGAAGGGAGACTGAGTAATGGGGGAGTTAGCAGTCTCAGCCAAATCTGTAGTCTCCAAACTAATGGGAAAGGACACTTATTTTATAGGTTTAAAAAATTGATTTTTATTTCTCAAAACATGAAAAAATAGAGCTTTATGGTTTTTTTTTTTAATCTCTCACTAAGGGGGCCTGGTTTATAACCTGTAGTATATCCTTTTTGTCATTATAGGAGGCTTAGCCAGAGGCCCACGACTGAAGAATTAGAGCAGAGAAATATCCTAAAGCGTGAGTATCCTATACTACAATGATCCCTTGTGTTACCATTCCCAGGCTGCCTCTGCAGGTGATTCATTTATCAGCAAGAAACCGTAATATATTAGTTTACTCACAACTGACTGAAATGGCCCATTTATATCCCCTTTATATGTTTTAAATAATAATTTCTTGAATTTTATATTTCAGTGTATGGCTTTGAGCCTGATATTTCCCAGACTAGAGTTGTGGTCATGACAACTGTTTTTAAGAAAGATGAAATACATTCCATGTATTCTTTCACCGGAATGTTAAATAGAAGAAAATGTTCTAGTCCGCTTGGAAATATATGTCAAAGAAAAGGCCAGAGAGTCCACAAGGAAATAAATCAAACAGTCCTATATTGTTTTTTCAAAATACAGTTTGTTGCTAGGTTTAACAAATGACTCAATTTAAAACAAAATTATGGTAAAAAGCATTTTTCAATCCATTTCATTTTCCCTTGTGATAACTCTGCTTCCCTCTCGAGTTGTTTATAATTAATTCCTCAGCACTTCAAGAGTTTGCCATTCATTTTTCTACTTTATTTTCCCATTCAGTTTTTCCCTCTATTCTCTTCGGTTTTATTTTTTTACTCACCACTCCAGTGGTATTTATTGGTGTTAGTGTGTTGAAGCTATAAAACTCAAAGAAGCATGGTTTGTCATGCTATTGTGTATCAGCGTGGTTACTAACTGCAGTGAGTTAAGAAGTGGGTTATTTTTACATTGAGCCTAGCTGTAGTGTTATATTTTATTAGCCCAGTTTCAAGAGAGCTTTTTCTTGTATGAAATATCAAAGAACAGGGTAGTATCACAGTAGGAATGAGCCACTGCTGGGGAGGAATTCTTTTGAACCAGTCTTTTGGAGTTGTCTTGACCCAATGGATAACTCCAGCTCCCCAAGATAAGTTGTTTTCTTTCCCAAAGGAAAGAAAGATTTTTAGTAGCATATTATACTACAGTGGCTAGCACTAAGACAACTACACAACGAAGACATAACAGTGAGAGGAGCGGCCATCCCCCCTGTCGATGGGATCTTTTCCCTTGGAATGCTGTTTCCTGGGTGTTTGTGAGCATAAATGGAATAGAGCCCATGGAACCGTTTAAGTGACCATCAATGTATAGAAGAGCCAGTTTGGAGGAGGAAAAGGTCATGGCTAGAAAAGAAGGAAAAATTTGTGTTTTAGCTTTTCTTAGGAAGGGTGGAAGCAGCATCTAATTTTGACAAACAAAATAAAACCATAGAGGCTCTTTGCTTTTGATAACAGGTTCCCAGGAAATATTTGTTGAATTAAGTTTTACGTAAGCTCAAAGGCAGACAGAACATATGCTCCTAAAACACAGAGATTATGTCTTGTTGGATGCCTGATGCAATACCTAGAAAAAAAAAAAAGGAAGAGCAGATTCTGAGTAATGTTTTCTTGCTCCTGTGAGACAAACTGTGCCAAACCACACTGGAGTTTGGTTATTTGAGGAACTGTTTCATGGATCCAGAAATTTATCGCACATTGATCTTAAGTGCTATCTTGGCTTTTATGCTCCCTGTTTTCCTGGCGATTCAGGAACGAGTGAAACACCAAAGTCAACTTCAGATTTGACTCCAGCCCTTTTTTCCTTCCTTCTAAGTTCATCTAAGCATGTTTATTCTGGAAACAAAAGGCACGTTTCCAGTCTGGAGTGGCTGATAACTGGCCTGTGATCTCCTGACACAGTATTGTCTGCCAAGGGGAAGCAGAAGGAAGTGGGTAGAGGTGGCCCCAGTCGTTCCCTGAGCAGTCACGGGAGCCGTGTGGCCCAGCTTACAAACACTGTGCCCACTCAGGTTTGCCTCTGGTTCTTCCATGCACATTGCTTGTTTGTGTGTTTCGTCTCCTGCTTTTGTTAGAAAGCAAGATGATTGTCTATTTAAAGAAAAGTCTGTGTGTGATATATAAGGTGTGGTTTTTAAGGACACTTGCTTAAACTAGGTCACCTTTTCTGGACAGACTAGGAAACTAATTCATAGCATAAAACATCCAACAATTCTCAAATCAGAGCCCACCACTAATTCAATAAACATGAGTCAGACAGCAGTAAAGGCTGATAGCTTTCATTGGAGACCATAGGACAAATTTTATTTCTTAGTATCATCCCCCGTGTCACTCCTTTACTGTTTTGGTGACACTAAATAAAGGTTTGGGGGGGGGGGTTGTTTTGTTTTGTTTTGTTTTGTTTTAAAGAAACAGGATCTTGATATTAGCTATTCACAGGCGATCCTCCTTCCCGCCTCAGTCTCCTGAGTAGCTGGGACTACAGGTGCATGCCACCACACCCTGCTGACACCAGAGTTTTATAAAAAGACACATATATTAAGTTATATTTAGTTTTACACTTTAGAACCAGCTCTTTAATTTTTTTATTTATTTATTTATTTATTTATTTTGAGACAGAGTCTCACTTTGTTGCCTAGGCTAGAGTGAGTGCCGTGGCATCAGCCTAGCTCACAGCAACTTCCGTCTCCTGGGATCAAGCGATCCTACTGACTGCCTCAGCCTCCCAAGTAGCTTAGAGTACAGGCATGTGCCACCATGCCCGGCTGATTTTTTGTATATATATTTTTAGTTGGTCAAGTAATTTCTTTCTATTTTTAGTAGAGATGGGGTCTCGCTCAGGCTGGTTTCAAACTCCTGACCTCAAGCAGTCTGCCCGCCTCAGCCTCCCAGAGTGCTAGGATTACAGGCGTGAGCCACCACGCCCAGCCTAGAACCAGTTCTTTAAAATCAGTGAAATAGAAAGCAACCTCTGGTGCTTGGAAGGTCAGCTTTTGCTAATCAGGAAAAGTGATGTATGCGGAACACCTTTTACAGGGCAGGGATTAAAAAAAGATGCAAATCCTCTTATGGTAGTTAGCTGTGAATGTAATTCCAGGTATATTTTCTATAGAGACAAAATGTATCAGGCCAATGGGTATTGCATGTATTTTTCCCCAACATTTTATTATGGAATTTCTTAAGCACACAAAAAAGTTGAAGGAAGTTTACAGTAAATACCCATATACCTACCGTCTCTATTCTGCCATTAACATCTTGCATCCATTTATACAACTTACTTTTTATGCATTTCACAGTAAGTTTATACATGTATTTTCATTTGTTAAAAATACTCATGTGGAAACATGTAAAACAGCATAAAGAGAAACAAACCCACAAAAAATGTGTCTTTTTTGAACCCATTTTATTTAAATTGACAACTCCAGAATATAATACTCTAGTTGCTGATATTGCTGCACATTCTTTCTTCTTCTTTTAGCTTATCCCCAAAATGCTCTGGGCAACAGTTGCTAGCCTGGCAAGTTTCCTGTAGTGCCCACTGCTGCTTAACCACATGTATTATTTGTGTGTTTATGGAAAATATGTGGCCCATCTGAAATGTCTACTCCTCTCTGCTCTGATGAGTATCACCAAGAGCAAGATTTGTCAATGAGCCATTCATGAATATGCCTCCAGTCTGTTTAAAGCAACCAGAAACATTTACATCTTTCTTTATCATTAGTCCTTGAATGAATGAAAACATGAAGGAATTGTTAGAGAATTTGGCCTGTTCAACTAACAAATACAGATGTTGCAAATATTGAATACTGATATTTTATTCAAAATAAAAATAATTATAGTGGTAAGGAGCCTATTTGAATTTTAAAAATAAATATAATTACCCTTTCATAGAAAAAGGAATCATGTGCAAAACTTGGTGGAATTTTGAAGTACTAAATTTAAAGTTTAACCTTGACTCTTGGTAAGAGCTTTTACAATGACTATTTAATAAGATTCAGAGGAATAGTCACGTTGGCTTCTCTCCACCTCTCTCATTCCTCCTCTGACGTCTTTAAAAGTACAGTTTTGAATGTGGGAAATGTAAGGAAGTCAGTTCCTGATGTCAAAAAAGAATTCCCACATGGTAAAATCCTATTTATTTAACTCCCCTAACTGCAGTTGGCCCTTCTCTTTTTAGACATCACTGGCTGTTACCTAGTTGTACCATATGCTTAATAATGTAAAACTATCTAATATTCCCTTCAAGGAACTGACATTTTGCATATTTAATGAGACCTGCAGCATTTGTTAGCTTTGGAATGTGTTAGATATCCAATTTTTTTTAATCTTTGAAAAATACCTTTTAAAAAATGCAGCATAATAATTGTATAGGAAGGATTTAGTAAAATATTTTAAGGATTCTATTTTTCTTTTTTTTTTTTTTTTTTTTTTTTGAGACAAGAGCTCACCTTATTTGCTCAGCGCTAAGTGGAGTGCCATGGTGTCAGCCTAGCTCACAGCAACCTCAATCTCCTGGGCTCAAGCGATCCTACTGCCTCAGCCTCCAAGTAGCAGGGACTACAGCATGTGCCACCATGCCCGGCTAATTTATTTATATTTATTTATATATATTTTAGTTGGTCAATTAATTCTTTCTGTTTTTAGTAGAGAGGGTCTCACTCAGGCTGGTTTCGAACTTCCAACCTTGAGCAATCCGCCCGCCTCGGCCTCCCAGAATGCTAGGATTACAGGCGTGAGCCACCACGCCCGGCCTTTCTTTTTATTAATAATATTACCAAAGCTCTTACCTTGTAAAGATCTGGTTTGAATCACATGAACCACAAGTATGTCAATTGTTTATTATATAATTGACAAGCCACAAGCTTTATCCAGCTCATATAAGGTAATTCTTTGACCCTAAATATGTATAAGAAAGAATATATATTTTGTGAAGAAATTAGAAAAACCTATAGTACTTTCATAGGAAGAAATTTGAATTATAACCAAATTTGTTTGACATTCTCAGGCACTTAATCAAAGGATATTAACTAGTTGTTTCTTGTCTTGTGGTAATTTCAGTTTATGTTCACTCTGTCTAAATAACCAGACTAATCATTCTTTTTCTTATGAATTAAAATTAGTATTTCAGAAGAATGTGGAAACTTTTCCTGTCCAGAGAAGGAAAATTGATAGAGAATTTAGCCCATTCAACTAACAAATATAGATGTTGCAAACTTTTAATACTGACATTTTATTCACAATAAAAATGATCTTAGTGGTAAGAAATCTATTTGAATTTTGAAAATAAATATATAATTGTCTTTTCATAGTAGTTTTTCTTTCTCAGCCTTTTGGTTGAACCTTAAGTGTGATTTTTTTTTTCAATAGAGTTCATAACAGCATTTTCTAAAAGATAACCTTTCATAAGCATTGGTATCTGAGATGTAAAATTTATCAAACAGGTGATGAGCTCCAGGAAGCAACAGAGAGAAGTTCCTCAAATAAGCAATAACCAGTTAAAACTGAAAGGGTGTTTATTTCTTTAAAAATTCTGGACATTTTTCTTTAAATTCCATCTGTCGGACAGCAAAGAAACTGTACTACTCAGTGAAGCATTAGACGAAGAGAAGACTTTGGAAAATCAAAGTCACAGGAAAATAAATAATTTCCACCCACAGTACACCATAACCCCGTTTAGAACATTCTGGTTTGAAAACAAAATCCAAAGAAATGCTTACATTCTGCTTCTATGGAAACCAAGGAAGAGAAATCAAATATTTTGGTTGGATTTGAGTGAAAATCAGCAGCTCAGACGTGCATTGGATGGTTCTAATTCGCTATTTTAATATGTCTCAGATTTTCACATGAAGGCCAGATGTAAAGTTTTGCCTGAATTTTGGTAAATAGTGCTTGTAAATCCATGAGATGACCAGCAGTAGAAGGCTTTCACCAGAGTATGGACGGACACTGTTATGGGTTTTTGTTTTTTTTTTTTTCAGAGTAGAACAAGAAGTTAGGAAGCAAAAAAAGTTTAAAATTAGTAAAGTAAGTAAACCAGTCCTGTAAGGGAAAAAAAACATATTGATGGTCAGTCTTTCTGCAAAATCTTTTGATGGCTTTTTAAAGATGTTGGTGAAATGTTTGATCAATATCTAATAGAGTGAAATAATTGTGGCCTGATATGCTTTTCTGATTATAAAATCATCTCTAGTAACTAAGTCATCACACCTTTCCCCCCTTAATAAATAGAAAAGAATGAAGAAGAGGAACAAGAAGCAAAAATGGAACTTAAACGCAGACTCAGCAGAAAGGTGATGAAATTATGGTTGTTAATGAGCATGTGTGTTTTGAAATATACTTTGTTTTTTTAAAAAAATACAGATCCTCTCTCTATATGTAAATCTATGTTTAAGAACAATTATTCCTGTTTGTCTATAATCATAGACATTAAAATCAATATAATGCACACAGTATGAATTATGATTATATATTGTGTTAATTGTAAAAAGTTAACAATCAAAGGTTTTTGAATTGCATTTACTGATTGTGAAAATACATATTCTGTATGAAAATTTTTGAAAATATGAAAAACAAAAAAGAAAATAAAATCACACAGAAGTCTTCTACTTAGCGATAGCCATTAATAACATTTCAGTGTATATATTTCCATTTTAAAAAATCGTTTTAAAAAATGCTCACGTATTCCATTTAGTCTTAGAAATATTAAACGAGCAAATATTTGCGACTATGGTAGCTTTGCTACTATTCCATATCTGAGCTGGATGCTTGATTTATTATGTGAACTTTCATCAGCCTGAGTGTTATCCAAACTGACAAATGGCTTACCTCCAAAACTTGAACAATTGTCCCCGCTTATTTATGCAAATATCAGTCTGATGCCAAGGTCATCACTTTTTTCTGTGTTAAAATAATACTAGGCTTTGGAAAAATTAAACACCATCAGAGTTTCTATTTCATTATAAACCCTTGTGATCATAATTCTTCAGATATATCTTTCACACCTGGAAAAAGGCAGAGAGACTAAACTGTGACATCGCAGTGAAGCGTGTGACCTGATCCACATTTTCCCGGGCTGGCTGGGGAGTCCCTCTGCAGGGAAAGCATTCCAAGGCAGGTGGAGGAAAAACAGTCCATTTCCCCTGGAAAAGTTATAGGGACAGTATTTTGAAAGTTTTGGATTTGGTTTTCAAGGGAGAAGATCCTTCATTCATTTCTCTTTTTTCTCAAAGATCCTAAATGTCAAATAACGACCAAGCTGAATCAACTCATTTTCTAGGGATGACTCTTCTAGCGTTCGGTAGCCCTTATGTCTCCAGCTGCAGACAAGATTCTCCCTTCCCCATTGCTCCAGGCTCATTTCTGTGATACATACAGCCTTTTTTTCTAATCCATCTAGGCCCCTCCATGAGGCAAAAGTGCCAGCCCTTACCCTCTGCACCCACTTGCCGCCACCACTAGAGCTTCTGGCCATAGGAGCACGTCAGCCCAGGCCACTGATGGCTACCCTGCGGCTGACACAGGCCTGAGGCAGGAGTGGATGGAGAACTTCAGACCGGTGTGGCCACTGGTTACTTTCCTTCTGGCCAGTTCTCAGGGGCAAGGTTTCTCTACTTCCTTTTCCCACCTGCCCTGAAGAGCAATATTAATTGGACAGCAACTGAGAGTATAGCAGAACCACTTAGACCAACCCCTCCCTTGTCTACTGCTTCCCAGGGCTCTGTGAAGATAAGAGGAGACATAGTTGGCATATTCCATCTGGTATGGACTCAGGGTGTAGGCTTAGACCTTCTGAGGGTGTTTGAATGCTTTGCGTATTAAAGCGTTGACTTAGTTCAGCCTCTGGTTTTACTCAGGAGGAAAGTGAGGCCCAGAAAAGAGACTGTTGTTGACTAAAGAGTGGGCGCCTGGTATACCACCCCGAGACCATGCCAATAAGGAATAGCTCCAAAGAAGACCACCTAGACAATAGACAGTCTGGTTGTATACAGTGCATATAAGAGGGAAAAGATGTTGAAAATGGACCCTGTAGGTAAAATAGAGACCTGGGTCTACCTGCCCGGAAATACTGGGACATCTCTCAAAAAGGGGGTGAACCTAAGTAGCAGAGAGTAAATGATGCCTGGTTGACCAGAGTGGGTAGGTTTCTATCCTCTGTCAGAATTGTGTCAATCTTATTCTTGGGCTAGACAAAGGATCAAGAGAGAAAACCAAGTACTCCATGGGCTGGCTAGAGTAAATATAATTATAAATTTGAACTTGACAAAGAACACAAGAAGGAACCCAAGTTATTAGAAGTGTCTTAAAGGTTGCAGCTGATATTAAGCAGTTACAGCCCCATAAAGTGCAGTTCTTCAGTGATGTTCCCCTCCTCGTTCCTACTCATCAGCTTTTAGGACGGAGGACAAATGTCAGATTGGGGCCTTGATCCTTATTCTCTCAGGGATGCCTGTGCTGTGGGCACACCCTTCACTGGACCATTCCTGTGTCATAGCTTTGCGCATTTCTGAATATGTAGGTTTAATATAACGGGAACAGAGATTTTTATTCTTATTTTTAAAATTTCACAGCTTTGGTCTTGCTAATTTAGCCACCAACCAGCCATCCCATATCTGGTTTACTACTGTGTGTCCACTGCATGTGTCGGGGATGACAGGCCTTTATCACAAGGCCAGGCAAGTTGGGGAAAATAGCATAATTCGAGTGGTTGCCAAGACTGTGACCTATCTAACAATGATGATTTTTTATAGTCTCAAAAATTAGGGCACATTGCTTTCTAGTTCTCATTAGAAATTCCCAAGATACTGCTGCTTTTTTTTTTTATTGGATACCTGAAAGTGACCTTATTTAACCATAACTTTGAAGTGTTCTCTGTAGAAAACTTGTCACCATGAGGCTGTAGATGGTTCCTGAACTCTGTCTTTTTCTCCTCTCCTCCTGCAGCTCAGCCTGAGACCCACAGTGGCAGAGTTACAAGCTCGAAGGATTCTGAGGTTTAACGAGTATGTAGAAGTCACCGATTCTCCGGACTATGACCGCCGGGCAGACAAGCCCTGGGCCAGGTTAACTCCTGCAGACAAGGCAAGACTCCAGAGGCTTTCGTGTCGATTATATTGCTTTTCTGAAAGCTCCAATATCCACTTACTCCCAACTTTGTTATCCTAGGGGATTAGATCTTAGAATCTTCCAACAATTTTCTGCCTCTGATTATTTAAACTGCTTAAGTGATATATTTAGTAATATCAATGTAGTTCTTTCAACAAAGTCTCAGAGAAAACTAGTTCTTAGTTACCATCTAACCTGCCTGCATTCAAACCTGGATGGGGAGGGCTTTCCCACAGCCAGGACTTATCCTTACTCTTAGAAAATATAATTTATACAACTTATTTTAAAAGGATATGTTAACAGTGGAAAAGCTTTATCTATATCAAGGCTGGCACACTTTTTATACAAATAGCCAGAAAGTAAATATGTGGGGCAATCTTTGTTACTATTGCTTAGTTCTGCCATTATAGCATAAAAGCAACTATAGACAACATGTAATTGATTGGATGTATATGTGTTCCAATAAAACTTTATTTACAAATATAGATGGTGGGCCAGATTTGTCCTGCAGGTCATGGCTTGCCAACCCCTAAACTATATCATTGTACACAATTCAGAAAAAATGAAATATATAGAGTGTTCTATCAATGCAGAAAAACTCTTATGAGTGCCATGGTTCCATAGCCAAATATTTATGGCAGCCATTTGTTTTTAAGTTTTTCACTTTACGATTTTCCTAATATTTTCAACAATGAGTTCTAATTTTTATCTCTGGTAAAAATCTGATATTGAATAAACTTATGGTGTACCCAGTCTTAATGCTAGAACTAGCTATTATATTTAATAATACTCTGTACTGAAACTTTTCATTTCTTTCTTTCTTTCTTTCTTTCTTTTTTTTTTTTAAGATACTGGGGGGGTATCACTGTGTGGCTCAGGTTAGAGTGGAGTGGCATGATCACAGCTAAATGTAACCTCAAACTCTTGGGCTCAAATGATCCTTCTGCCTCAGCCTCCCAAGTAGCTGGGATTACAGACCTGTGCCATCATGCCTGGCTAAATTATTTTATTTTTTGTAGAAATAGGTCTTGCTATGTTGCCCAGGCTGGTCTCGAACTCCTGGCTTCAAGTGGTTCTCCCACCTCGGCCTCCCAAAGTGCTGCAATTACAGGCATGAATCACCATGCCTGGCTCTGATACTTTTTAATGGGAAATTTCATTCTGTAGAGCACCTACTATATGTTCAAGTACGTGCTAGAGATTCTGACTCGGACATCATTAGCTCATAAGTGAAAAGTAGGAAGGAATAAGATCACAAAGGTTCAGAACAAGAATAGAAGCCAAGGAGGCTGAGAATAGCGCTCCCTAAGTATTGAGGTAAGACTAGCACTCACCCCAACATATACAGCGGTCGTTTGAGGTATGGCTATGATTCCAGAGGCTGTAGGCTTGGGTGGGTGAATTTACAAAGTAAAATAGAGTATCGGGGGAGTGGTTTTTTTGTTGTTGTTAATTCATGGGAAATACTTGAGCCCTCAGCCTTTGTTTGTCTCTGAAAGTTCTTATTTCTTCTTCATATTTGAAGGATATTTTTACAGGATATAATATTCTAAGGGTTAAGAATTTTTTCCTTCAGCACTTTGTATATGTCATGCCACTCGATCCTGGCCTATAAGGTTTCCACTGAGGAGTCTGTTGCCAGATGTATTGGAGCTCCTTCATATGTTATTTTTGTCTTTTTTCTTGCTTCCCTTAGGACCTTTTCTTTATCTGTGACCTTTGGGAGCCCTCTCTGTCTTGCCGTGCTTGTGTCTGTTTGAGAGGGCCTAGTTTCCTGCACTGACGTAGATAAATAAGCCAGCCCTCAGGTGGCAGAGAGGAGGAGCCAGAGAAGGCCCATTGCATTGGCACGATGACCTCAGCTGGGCTGGCAGTTACCTTCTCCCTGGCGTAGAGCTTGGAAGCTCCATGGCAGAGGGGTGGGCAGGCTTTGGAGCTCTTGGCACTTCTGGAATTGATTCCTAGACTTGACTACTTGGCAGTTGTTTGACCTTGGCCAAGTCATTTAACCCGAGTTTCCTCACTAGTAAAGTAGAGCTGATTATATCAATCTTGAGAAGTAGGGAGTATATCTGTCAAGTTCCAGCTCATCGATAAATGGTAGTTCTTACCAGTATTACACTCATGGTCAGGCTTGAGGATCCAAGCTTCACTCCAAATTGATGACATTGTCACTATTTATTGAAGCCTCAGTTTACAACCTAGTCTAAAATTGTCCAGTGAATGACAATGCATATTTTTTCAGATGATCCGTGGATTTGTCAAACAGATCACTCAAATTTATTAAAACCCTTATAATATATTAAGTGTTGTCCTAGATCCTGGGGATATAAAGATGAATAAAACATACTATCTTTCCAGAAACACACTGTCTAAACAGGTCCTAGGAAAGATTGATATTTTAGTTCTCTATCGCTATGGTCCCCAACCCCGAGGCCATGGGCTAGTACTGGTCCTTGGCCTGTTAGAATGGGGCTGCGCAGCAGGAGGTGAGTGTTGGGCAAGCAAGGGAAGCTTCATCTGTATTTTCACCCCTCCCTATCACTCACATCACTACCTCCTGTCATATCAGTGGTAGCATTAGATTCTGCATTATGGTGAGTCGTATAATTATTTCATTATATATTACAATGCAATAATAATAGAAATAAAGTACAGCAGAAATGTAATGCACTTAAATCATCCTGAAACCATCCCACCCCGACTCCCCAGTCCATGGAAAAATTATCTTCCATGAAACTGGTCCCTGGTGCCCAAAAGTTTGGGGACCACTGCTCTGTAGGATATTCTTTGGCCTGTTCATGGTTGCCCTGGCAACAGAAGGGCATATACTTCCCTCCCCATGGCAGTGAGCTTGATGAGTAATCAAGAAATCTTTATGTTCCATAGCAGAATTTAATTGAAGAAATAAACAAATCTTAGTTAATTCTGGACTCACAGCTCATTCTGTTTGAGAAGACAGCAGGGTCCATATTTGCAACAGATCACCTGTTGCTTTTTGACAGGGACTGACTAAGCAGACCTTCTGTTGCCACTCACCAGTAGCCAATTTTAAACTTAGTTTCAGTTGTGTTTGTCTCCCTTTTCCTCTCTATAATTCTCATGATACCAAAAATATTACATATTTGGTCTTAGTGCTATCTCCTAGAGTTCTGTTGTTGTTTCTACCCTAGAAATACCTAGTTTTGGCTCATTGGCTTCCTGTTGGTGAACCAACCTGGGCTCCAATCCCATTGTCTCAGACTACCTCTTTCTGTTCCGATCTTCCAACAAAATCAGTCCCCTTTGTACCATGTGAAGAGTTATTAGGTCTAAACTCTGGTCTTCTTTGCTAAGAAGAGAGTTAAGATTATTGTACATGGATTTCACTAACATAAAGGATCTTAATTACTCTTTTTCCTCTTTTAAACCCTTTCAGGAAAGCTTTCTTTTTATTCCAAGAAGTAACATTAGAATATAACTATGGTCATTCCTCGGTAAATTTTTTAAATGAGTATTGCATTTCTTTAATTGCCTGTAGTCATATCTTTCTGATTTATTTTTTCATACAACTAGTCCCTACAATTTCACATCACTTTCATTGCTACATCATTCATGTCATTGACTCATCATTTCTAATTATAAACCAGCACATGCAACATGAAGATCTGAGGCAGTTTTCTCTATGACGTAGCTGTGAAGCTCATTTGACTAAAGTGTAGGACTTGAAGTAAGAAGGCCCAGGTATGAGCGTCATCTTTGTCACTCAGTGCCCGTTTGAGATCTAGCAACTCAGGAGGCTCTCTAGGCCTTCGTATTATCATTTGTAAGATAAAAGGCTTGAAATAGTGTTCAGGTTACCAACTGCTTTATAACAAAACACCCCAAAACTTAGTGGCTTAAAACAACTATTTATTTTACTCACAATCCTATGAGTGAGGAATTTGGGAAGTACTCAGCTCAGAGGTTTGCTTCTGATCCATGTGACATCAGATGACGTGCTGGGGTTCGACCAGTCCACTTCCAAGATGGCTTCTTCACTAACTGCTTGTGCCTTGTTCCTCTTTGATCTCACCCCCTCTATCCACGTGGCATCTGATCCTCCATGGCTTTTCCTTGTACCTTGGGTTCCTCACAGTATGGTTTCCTGAGAGCAGTCACATTCTTTTTACATGGCATCTGGCTATCAAGAAACAAGAATTAGCCTAGGTCTGGAAAAAAAAATCCAAGTGTGGTGGCATGCTTAGTCCTAGCTACTTGGGAGATTGAGGTAGGAAAATCACCTGAGCCCAGGAGTTTGAGCCTGCCGTGAGCTATGATCGCACCTGTGAATAACCACTGCACTTTAGCCTGGACAGCATCGCCAGACCCCTATCTCTAACAATAAAATTAAAAAAAGAAGAAGAAGCAAGAAACAATAGGTGCCAGACCAGTTAAGGCTACACTCCAGACTGGCATGGTGTCACCTCTACTATGTTCTGTTGTCATGTCAGTTACAGGGCTCACCTAGAGTCAAGGCTGGAGAGATGGACTCCACCTCTTGATGAGGGAGGGGCAAGGTCACCTTCCAGATGAGCATGTGGGATGTGCCCACAATGTTTAACTGGCTCTCTGGGGGAAAATGTGTGTATGTGCATATGGTCATTAGTGAATTGTAACCTTTATTAATATAAACGGTGTATAGCACACAATTTATAATTGAACTCTTTTGTAAATTCCATATCTCAATTGATTCTCACAGAATGCTTTCATTGATTTTTTTTTTTACCAGACTCTTAGATCAGTAGCCAACCTAGTATTGTAAGGACTTTGTCTTATTTATGTTTGAGTCTCTTGCAGTGACATCATCTTCTTTCATGCCAGTAGACTCTTCATAAATAAAAATGAACGAGTTGTTAGTCACAGTCACAAACTAAAATAATTTGTTTTTGAAAAGCCTCGTAATAATGGTGTTTTATGGATGACTTTACAGTGTACAAAGCACTTTCAAATATGTTCTTGATTAATTCTCATGCTGTTGTGAAGAATTCCCTCCTCATTTTCCAGATGGGAAAACTGAGCTTTTGGAGCAGAGTGACTTACTGAGGGTCACACTGCTATGGAGGGAATAGCCAAGACTGGAATGTCTTGGCTTCTGATTCCAGGTGTACTGCTTTTCACTTCCTTTTCGGAAACCTTACATTTGGAGAAGAAATTTAAAATGGATATTGAGAGAGGATCTCTGTCACTCTTCAAATTAAGATACCTCCTTTTAAAGAATAATTTTTTATAGATGTGAGTTGGTGAGTGGTAAAGAGCGTCTTCACTATTTCACCTTCTGGTTCTAGGTAGCCATTTTTACAGGGAACAGAACAAAGCGTCCTTCCTGTGGATCTGACTTGTGAGACAAGCTGGACAGCCCTGTCACAGGGCTCCCAGGCTCACAGACGTTTCTCTGCTTGCTTCATCTCTTCCGAAAGGCAGTAGCAAGAATTACTGCCACAGTTCCCAGCAACAGGTTCCCCACAGACACTGCAGGGGCTGAGGAAGATATCTGGGGAGAAGGGGCAATCTGTGACAACAGGACTCACACATCATTGAAAGGAGCATTGGAGGAAAAGCAGGGAGGTGGCAACTGACAGGAGAGAGACAAAGAGAAGCCTCGGGGCTTTCTTTTGTTTTTTCCCTTTTCTAAAATTTACTATTTTCCAACCACAAAGTAAATTTTCTTATCTCCTGATAAAAGTCACTCTCTGTGGTTTTATTGTCATTCTGTGTTTTGGCTGAAGAGTCCGTTTTGCCTTGAGGTTACAGGGGTGTTTTAATTCGCACTTTTTTTTTTTTTTTTACATGAGTAAAACGTTCCTTGTAGAAAAATTAGGAAATAAACATGAGCAAAAAAAAAATTGAAACTAAAAACCATCCAGGATTCTGCCACTATTTGTTAACAGATGACTAAAGTTAATGTTTTGAGGAATATCTCGGCTTTTCAGTCTGAATGGCGTAAGCACCTTTTCGAACACCAAACGTGGTGTGGCATGGATTGTGTGTTCTTTAAGTAGTAAGGCGTTGTATTTGATATTTTCTTTGAATAGCTTTAAGTGCTATCTTGAAATTTGCAATTCTGTTTGTCTAAACTTTTGATATTAAAGAATGTGTGGCAACTATCTTAAACCATGTTGTCATGGGCAGTATTAAGTGCAGAACTTTCATAAGAGAATAATACTGTTTCTCAGAAAATCTCATGACCTGCACTTTCCTTAGGGTCATCAAGGTTAGGGGATGTTCTGTGTAACTCAGACTAGGCTTAAGGAGGAATTTAGCAAAAGCCTCCTTCCTACCCCCCTTGTCTAGGACACTTGAAGGAAGTCTCTCCTGGTTTTAGTTTGGATATTGTATGATATATTTATTACATCTTTACCTGATAGAAATTAGGAATCCCTTTCTCTCTCCAAGACATTTCTTGAAAGAATGCCTGCTTTGTCGCTGCTGTCTGTACTAGGGAAATATGTGACCAAAATAATAATTCTATTTAACTATTTTTTCCTGTTTAGGCAGCCATAAGGAAAGAACTAAATGAATTTAAAAGCACAGAAATGGAAGTTCATGAAGAAAGTCGACAGTTTACAAGGTAGGTAGACAAAATGAAGTTTAGCACATGAAAAAGGCTTACGATGTTAAATTTTATGTTAGTTGTATTTTATCACAATTTAAAAAATTGTTCTAATACAGTTTAGCATCAAACCATCCTATTAACATTTCTGCCTTTCCCACAACTCATCCTTGTTTGCTTTTACTGATAACCTCACAGTCAATATGGCAGTTTTAAAGATATGACTAGATAAGAGTATAAATTTCTAGAATTTCGTAATAAACTCAGCTATCTCCTCTTAAGAACACTAAGGCTAATCATGCTGAATAAAAATTCCTAAAGTTAGTTTTTTTTCTTTCAAAGAAGTCTGAATCATTCTAAAGGGCTACATTTTGTTTCCTTTCTTAGTTTTATTTTCTGAGCCAGAAGACAAGTATCAACATCATTTATTCTGCTCTTGAACAGACTCAGTTGATGTTGTATGCCCAGAATAGATGCTGGGGAGAGTCAGTGTGCACATGTGCAGTAGACATAACTAGTAGGATGGAAGCTGACGTTTCAGAAGATATAACTTAGAATGGGAATCCAGGTTTTACTGTGCCACGAAAGTTTGCTGCCATCTTTTTTCCCTCCCAGTATTCTTCAGTTTCTTGCCCAGGCTACTAAAATCCTAAGGGACCTGAAGGCTTCTGTAGTCTGACCCCCACAGGTGTTCTTTGTATTTCTATCTAATGGGTGTATGTGCTTAGCTCTATATAACAGATGTGTTTCGAAAAGTTTGCACACCAATCAAATCTTTAATAATTGAATTGATTTTAAGAAAATACCAGGACAGATGATAATCACAGTAGGTCTTTCTGGAAAATAAATATTGATCCCCTGGGCTAGAAAAGAGCCTCTGTAGGGTAGCCATACATCCTGTTGGGTGCTACTGTTCCTGCACTGGGTCCTGGTAGTGGTGCTCTGTGCTGCAGAGCATGTCACAGGACAAAGGAATTAGCAGTATATAACCTTGAAATTTAATAGCAAACCCCTTCCCTAAAATTTCTGGGGAGCTTTGCTCCACAGCTATTCCTCATATGTCAATGTCTGGGATGCAGAAGAAACTCCTCTCTTTCTTTTAGGGAGATCTTTGGCCCTCCATATACACAGAATCAACCAACCATGATCCAAAATATTTTCAAAAATAAATAAAAAATAACAACACAGCAATAAAAATAATATAAATTTTAAAATATAGTACAACAGCTATTTACATAGCATTTACATTGTATTATAAGTAGTCTAGAGATGATTTAAAATATTTAGGAAGACGTGTGTAGTTTATATGCAAACACTGTGCCATTTTTGTATCAGGGACTTGAGCATCTACGGATTTCAGTATCTGCAGGGATCCTAGAACCAAGGAATGACTGTATTTCTTCTTTATTTGCTTCTCTCATGTTTGATTGTATATGCATATAGGGCTTTCCAACATCTTGAATGTATAGGATTTTTGTCTATTTGGAGGCTTTATTCCATCGTAATCTACTATTAAACCAACAATATCCGCATATCAAGCCAGACTTGTTTGTCGTCCTCTTTTTTCCCCTCCACTTTTGAGTCAGGAAAAGGTCATGCTAAAATGTGACACCTATAGTTGCCTTTTAACAGTAAATTTAATCATAAAAAGGTGGCTGGATACTTTTGATGACATGGAGCTGGCTGGGGCAGTTAGGCAATTAGGAAAATGGCACATGAAATTCTTTTTTAATATACAGATGGATCAGTTTCTGGATTCTTCAATATGTTCTAATGAGCTATTTGTCTGTCCCTGCCTGTGTCATGCTGTTTAATTGGGACAGATTGATAGTATGTTTTTATATCTGATGGGGTGTTTATTTTTACCCTCAAAATCCTATTGGCTATTTTTCTGTATTTACTCTTCTAGAGAAATTTTGAAGATGCTTCTTGTGTTTCATAATATATTGACATCTTCATTGTTAAGTAAATGTTAATAGATGCAAAAAGATACGCTTTTGAGGGGGTAACAGCTGATATCAAGGGTAAACTTGAAATAATTTCCAAAAAAGTATATTAACACTCTTTAAAATGTCTTTCCAGATAAGGAAAAATTAAATATTCATATCACTAAAACAAATATGCCTTCCTTAAGTATTCTTTAAAACTTGGCAGTAAAGCACATGTCTGCTTCCCTGTTTCCATTAATTTATATGACATCATTAGAGTTGCATTCCAGTAGGGAAATATTTTGGCTCTGGGACATAAAAATCTTGCTTATGCTTTTCAAGTTGTTTTCTGTATTTCTTTTAAGAGGAAAAAGTTTTGGTAAACACTCCTGTTTTTAATCAAAATAATACAAAAACGGGGTACTGTTTTATATTTAGAAAATTGCTCATGTAAAAAATAGTGGTACTGTTAGCACCAGCCTCTCTCGGGGGAGGAATAATAAACACTCTATGAATCACACTACCTCGCCCTTTAAATGCAACTCTGATATACAGCCGCTCTCTGTTCTTCTCATTAGCGTCAGACATTTATACCCAGTAAGCCTTTCCTTCAAAACCTAAATCTCGAAACTCCCTGAGATTTGGGGTGGTTAATAAATGGGTTGAGACAGCCCTGCCTCCTCCGCTCCAGCACCTTTTATGCAGAAACAGCCTCCCACACAGTGATGTATCAGTGAACACTGAAAGGATCCCTCCCATCCACAGCTTCCTTTGCCTCTGTAACTCTGGCTAAGGGCAGGCATGGGAGGGAGACTTCTCACTGCTCCCCCTTTGAACCTTTTGAGTTTTTGAAACATAGGAATATATTATCTTCAGGATCTGGAAGAATTTGGAAAAACAAAACAAAAGGAGGTGTTGCCTAGTCAAAAACAAACATTTAAAAGAAAAACTAAAGGATTCACCCCTAAGTCCTCATTCTATTAATGAGAGTGCCACATGGTAGCTTTTCTTGAATAATAGTTTGGTGCTAATGTTAATTGTGACTCTTCTACTTTTTATGCATGAGAAGATACCTCTGATACCTCCATCCTGGGATACATTCTGTGATCTGTTTGATCTGAGTGATGAAGAAGAATTGTGATAATCCATTCTTTCATCTCATTCCCCTAGCCACCTTCCAGATAGCTCTCCAGAGTTGGAATGCATTTTAGGGCCTTGCAGTGAGGGTGGGGGAAGTGGTCCCCACAAGAATCCATCCTGTGGTCTGATGGGGACCAAGTATATGTCACCTTGGGTCCTTAGACCACTTGTTGCTCATCTGGCCACATCCTGTGTTTCCTGCCCCCAGAAACTGCCCACTCAGCCCACTGTTCAAAACCCAAAAGTCCATTGGAAGGAAATATATTATTAGATAGGGTCACTGTGTTCTTGACCACTGTGGCAAACAAAAGCCACTTCCTTTCCACAATAAATTAGATTTCTACAATATAAAGTAATTCTCTAAATTATAAAGACCAATTGCATGAAAAATCAAATTTTATTTAAAAACTAAATTATAGAATGATCCCTGCTGAGTATGAATACTTTTAATCTTCTGGATATTGTTTTCCAAATTTCTTTAAGTGTTAACATGTGTCAGATTTATAATCAAGAGAGAATATCACTTTTTGAAAATAAACTTTTAACTCTGTAAATAATATTGTTCAAATGTGCAAAAGTATTCTCATTTTTTATTAGCTTATAAATTATTTGTTTATTATAGTAAGGGAAACTGTCAAAGACTCATGGAATCATTGAATGGAAGCTATAAGAGTCAAAATGGGCCTCAAGAGATCATTGGTATAATGTCTAGTAGGAAAAGCAGGATATTGATTAAATGCATATATAGCAATGATATATTTTATTTAAAATTCAGATGTATAGCAATAAAGATTAGGAAATATAGTGGAGTTAGGTTTTTTCTTTAATTTTCAAATTTTTTAAATGTTATATTGAGATTAAGATACATATACAAATAAGGCCGGGCGCTGTGGCTCACGCCTGTAATCCTAGCTCTTGGGAGGCCGAGGCGGGCGGATTGCTCAAGGTCAGGAGTTCAAAACCAGCCTGAGCAAGAGCGAGACCCCGTCTCTACTATAAATAGAAAGAAATTAATTGGCCAACTGATATATATAAAAAATTAGCCGGGCATGGTGGCGCATGCCTGTAGTCCCAGCTACTCAGGAGGCTGAGGCAGGAGGATCGCTTGAGCCCAGGAGTTTGAGGTTGCTGTGAGCTAGGCTGACGCCACGGCACTCACTCTAGCCTGGACAACAAAGTGAAAAAAAAAAAAAAAAAAAAAAAAAAAAGATACATATACAAATATAGACACAGTTGACCCTTGAAGAACTTGGGGGTTAGGGACACTGATCCATCCTTGCAGTGGAAAATCTACATGTAAGTTTTGATTGCCCCAAAACTTAACTACTAATAGCCTACTTTTTACCAGAAGCCTTACTAATAACATAAACAGTTCATTAACACATGTTTTGTTTATTATATGTATTATATACTGTATTCTTTTTTTTTTGAGACAGAGTCTCACTCTGTTGCCCATGCTAGAATGCTGTGGTATCAGCCTAGCTCACAGCAACCTCAAACTCCTGGGCTCAAGCGATCCTCCTGCCTCAGCCTCCCAGCTAGCTGGGACTACAAACATGTGCCACCATGCCTGGCTAGTTTTTTCTATTTTTTTAGTGGAGACAGGGTCTCGTTCTTGCTCAGGCTGGTCCCAACTCCTGAGCTCAAACGATCTACCCACCTCGGCCTCCCAGAGTGCTAGGATTACAGGTGTGAGCCACCACGCCCGGTCTATATACTGTATTCTTATAATAAAGTACGCTAGAGAAAAGAAAATGATATTAAGAAAATCACAAGGAAGGGAAAATATATTTACTGTTCATTAAGTAGAAGTGGATCATCATAAAGTTCTTCATCCTCATCTTCATCACATTGAGTAGTAGGAGTAGGGGTTGGTCTTGCTGTCTTAGGGGTGGCAGAGGCAGAAGAAACTGTGTGTAAGTGGACCCATGCAGTTCAAACCCATGTTATTCAATGGTCAACGGTATTTAGATACATATATATTTTTAAGCAATGATCTCATTCTATACCTTTTAGAGGAAATCTATCCTATGTGGATTTATAGATAAAGTAAACCACCCTTTCAGCTTCTAAATATGCTTATAAAAATGTGATATGGCAGGACCTATATTTGGGACTGTAATAAAAATTAACTAAGGGGTCCTCCACAGAGGAATGGGAAAGTTGCTACTGTAGTAGTACTGTCTTTCATGGATGTTCCATTTGCTTGCTACCTGGAGAAAAACTAAAAAGAGTTGCAAAATGCAGCTTTAACTACCAGAGTGGAAAGCATGGCCAGTGTTGGGAATGATAAGAGCCCGGCCAGCATGTGATCTGGCCTCTCAGGCAGAACAAGGAGCTATAATTTAAGAGAGCCTCTTCATTTGTTTAACATAAGCGTATGTGGCGTGACAGTGAAACTCTTTTAAAGAAAGGGGGAATGAATTATTTCGGGTTTCTTTCTATATCAAATAGGGAAGTACAAGAAAATAATATTTTACTTTCATCAGTAATTGTATATTTTATATAATCTGAATGAATTTACAGGAAGATGAGTAAATTCTTAAAAATTAAATTGTGCAAGAATTATCTTTGTGGAAGTAGTTATCCTTATCTGAATTCCGTGACTTAAAAATAGCATTCCCCTATTCACACTATCTCAACTGTATGAAAATAAGAAAAATGTTATTATGGTTTTTAAAAGAAGAAGAAAATACAGATGTCTTCAAATTTGAGCCTCAGGAAAGTTCTGAAAAGGGGGTGGCCGAGAACCTTAGGTATCCTCAGGGCACAGTGAATCTATTTATTGCTCCACCAACTGGAAGCCTAAAGCCAAAACTGTCATTCTGTCAGGTAGGCAAACTTCCCAGGAGGTAGAGCTGAACTTCTCATATTTTCTTTTCTTTTTTTTTAATAATATGTTTTTTTACTCTTTCTTAGCCTGTGCCTTTCTTTTTTTTTTTCTTTTTTTTTTTTTTGAGACAGAGTCTCACTTTGTTACCTAGGCCATGGCGTCAGCCTAGCTCACAGCAACCTCAAACTCCTGGACTTAAGCGATCCTTCTGCCTCAGCCTTCCGAGTAGCTGGGACTACAGGCATGCACCACCATGCCCGCCTAATTTTTTTCCATATATTTTTAGTTGGCCAATTAATTGCTTTCTATTTTTAGTATAGATGGAGTCTCACTCTTGCTCAGGCTAGTTTCGAACTCCTGACCTTAAGCGATCCTCCTGCCTTGGGCTCCCTGAGTGCTAGGATTACAGGCATGAGCCACCTCACCCGGCCAACTTCTCATATTTTAAAACAAATGCAAACGACTGAGCAATAGCAAACTAAGCAATAATTTGTATTTTTAGTACCTCTAACCATAAAATTTTAGAACTGAATTTGAAGATAAGGTACCTAATTTAAACAGGATATAAATATCCTTTTCTGGTTGGATAGATAGAGCAGGAAAATGTATGATTTGTTTTTGTTGCTGTTTTATTGGGGTTTTTGTTGTTGTTTTTACCAAATCTGGACATTCTGTATAACGAGAAGTTACGGTTCCAACCCCAGGCTATGTCAGCATATTATCACATACACAGTATCAGTTGGTCACTTTCTTCCCTTAGCCATTAGAGCTACACTGGTAGCCTGTGACCTGCCAATGCAATCCAGACTGTGGAACTCGTTGTCTACTGGGATTCATGGGTAGGTGGTTTGTGTAGGGAAAAAATACCTTACAGTGTTCTTGGTCGTTTTTGAAAATGAAAAGCAAGGTACTTTCCAGGAAGATGCTAGGCTTCTCTCTTCCGGTTTCCTGACTTCTCATGTTGTTGCCCAACCCCAGATCTCATTCACCTTCTGCCGCCCACAGACATTACTAACAGGGAGGGAAGACGTCAGTTTCCCCACACTTGTCCTTTGAATTCAGGACCCAACAAATATCCGTAGATTAGGACACTGTGGGATGTGTAGTGTGCAAAGCCCAGCAAATTTGGAGAGGGCTAAATAATTGCTAAATGAGATGAGTTTTGATTTAATTCCTAGAAGAGCTGAACCTAAGGGCGAGAGACCTTTGGTAGCTCCTGGTGTGAGGATCCCAGCGGTACAATGTGCTTGTCTCGTGTTGTAAGGCTCCCCAGGCTCCTGCTCTCTCCGCGTGGTGTGCGTAGTGCTGGCCGGTCCTGCTTGGCAGGGCCATCCCTGCGGATCTCCCTGGCTGTACTTTCCTAGTCATTGTCAAAAGTTTGAGAATAGATGGTAGCAATCAAAGTGTAGCCTGGGAATGTGGAACAGGATTTTTCTGTGGTCAAAATTGATCAAAACTTGAATGGATAAAGAAAATGTGGTATATATACACAGTGGAATACTATTCAGCCATAAAAAAGGAGATCCTGTCATTCACGGCAACATGGACGAGCCTGGATGATATGACGTTAAGTGACGTAAGTCAGGCACTGAAAGATAAATACTACATGTTCTTACTCACAGGTGGAAGCTAAAAAATGGATTTCATAGAAGTAGAGAGCAGTATAGTGTTTACTAGAGGCCAGGCAGGGGGAGGTCTGAGGCCAAAGGCCTGAAAACCTGGGGGTCGGGGTGGGGGGCACTGGTATAAATTCTGGAGTCCAAAGGCCAGGGAGCCCGGGGTTGTTGTCCAGGGACAGGAGAGGAAGAGCGTACCTAGCTCTAGCAGACAGAGTGACATACTCACCTTTTTTCTGTTTTTGTTCTCTCTGGGCCCCTAGCAAATTGGATGGTGGCCGCCCACATTAAAGACAGATCTTCTTCACCTAGTTCCCGCAGACTCGTGCTAATCTCCTCTGGAAACACCCTCCTAGACACACCCCCCAAAAATAACGCTTCACTGGTTTTCTAGATACTCCTTAATCTAGTCACCTTGACACCTAATATTAACCGTCCTGGGATCTCTTGAAGAACTAAAACTTGTTCTTTGGTTTAAATGACAAGAGGGAGCTCTGAGTACACTGTTGGGAGAGGAGAAAAACCTTCCACCACCAAGAGAGGTGGGCTGATATAGAAGGGGGAGCAGGGGCCTTCCTAGTGGTGGGAAAGAATTTCGCGTGATCAGGAGGCAGAGAGAAGCCCCCATGACCAGAAGGGTGACATTGCCCCTGTTTAATAAACACGGGCGTGGAGGTGCACACTCTGCCCAAGGTTATGGTCATGGGTAGATAACAGCTGAACTCAAAGTAGCACATTCCTTCTTTAGTCACAAATTGTTGGCCAGTTCTGGAAAGTCTGGGGTATCTTATTTTTATTTTGATGTCTGGAAATTCACACATACAAAAGTAATATAAGTCCTATGTATCCATCCAGCAGCTTCTCCAGTTAGCAACTTATGGCCAATCTTGTTTTATCTGTTCTTATGTCTTTAATTTTTCATTTTGTAATGCTTAGATTCAACACAGCAACATATATTCAGTACTACCATGTTATGAGATACTTCATTCTATAAGTATATAGAAGTAGATAAGAACAATCCTTCCTTCAGCTTCTCACAGTCTAATAGCAGAGGCAGACCTGTACAAAGATTATATAATGTGAGCAATAACTGGTATAAAACAAAGGTTACAGGAACACAGAAGTGAGAGCAATTAATGCTTCCTTGAAAAGTGAAGAAAGGGGAATTTGGGGAACTCACAGAATGAGATTACACAAAGTGGAGATGGGAAGAGAGGTAAGGGTAGAGGAGAAAGCATGAACACAAAAGCCTTTTAGGGGCAGGTAATTGGAACTTAAGAGTATTTCAGGGGTAGTGGGATAGCTAGAAGCATGGGCTGGGCCACATTCTGAAAGGCCTCAATTGCCACTGTAGGAAATTTATATTTTATTTTTGTAAGAAATGGGGAACAATACAGTGCTTTTAAGGAAGAACTGGAATGATGGAGATAGTATAATATTTTATAAGGATAAATGTTCAAGCAAAGGATAATGTTCAAGCATAGATTTGATGGAAAGAGCCTAAGACAGAAACCAGTTAGCAGACTGGTTGACCAGGGTAGATGAGAATTTAATAATAGAAGATGGTGAAACGCTAAGTAGAGCTGCATATGTGTGGAATCACAGGAGTAGCCTGGAGAGCTGGATCAGATAAGGTTTTATGAGAAGCTGGCTTTTGACTTGATCTTGAAGATGAAAACATAAATAGGAAATGAAGGGAGGGAATTACAGTGTTGAGGAACAGCATGTTCAAAAGCACCAGGCTACAAAAATGCAAAGAATGTTCAGAAACTTGGCATGGAGGGAAATGAAGCCGGCTAGCTGGCTAGCAAGCTGACTGTGAAAGTAGTACCGGCAAAAGATGGTGAGGACTTCAGTGTCTCAAAGACAGGCGATCTAGGCAGGACGTGGTGACTGACAGGACGTGGAAGGTGAAGGAGAGAAATGAATTGCAAATCTGATGTTTCTAGACTAAAAATATTTTAAAAGAACATCAAACAAAACGGAAAGTGCAAAGGCAACTTAACAGGAAAAACTTTGTGCAGTTGTGGGCAGAAAGTAGATTTGGGGTCATCAGCCTGAGATGATGAGGGGCTGAAGCTACTAGTGACTATTTGTTGTTTTCCCTTTATAACTATAGACCAGGTGTAAGCTAAATCCCTTTGTGAAACATCTCACTCTGCTTAACAAGGGTTAGAATGTGACCCTCAAGAGTAGTGATGTTTTGTGCCTTGATTGCCCTATAACCTGAGTAATATAACCAGCGTCTTTTATAATATATAAGGGTTGAGTCTCCTTTCCAACATAACATTTATAACAGCATTCTGTTACGACAGCAATTTGTAAGCAGTGATTCCCTTGGGGGACATCTAGAGCTGCCTTTAATTGTAAACATTGCCGTGCTTTGTTCAGCTCACTTAATGCAGAGTGTGCGAACCATACCACAGTCTCACAAAGTTTCTGTTTCTCACTCCAGGTTTCATCGTCCATAAGGAAGTGTGAGACTATTTGGAAACATCATCTTTGGGGGAAGCCCTGCTTCCTGAAAGCCTGATATTGCACTGGGATTTGAGTGTGTGTGTTTCCCTTTAACTTGTGGTGAGGGAAGTGCGTGACTTGGCTTGTTGGAAATGCCCCTCCCCTGTGCAGCCCAGGTGGGGCCAACAAGCAAAGGGAGGAGGCAGTGATCCTTGCTGCCCAGAATGTGCATCGACGGTAAGGGACACCGTGCTTACATCAGTTATTCTTCATCAGGAGTTTCAATCAAAGAAGATGAGCAGAAGACAATCGCTGGCTCCCTATTACCAGAAAGCCAAATTTTATAGTGCGGGTTAAAGAAAAATAGAGATCGGAATGCTGGGCACGGGAAAGGGGTGGGAGATAAAAACCAGAAAGAAAGAGAAATATTTCATTATGTTAATGAAGAACTGAGAAAATTGACGCATAAATGTATTTTTGAAGTAGGCATTTTGGTAGCTGAGAGCTTATTAAGGGACTTAGGAATCTAATTATCAACATGGATTCTTTAAAGACTTGATCCTAGAAGAATATTCTTGTTTCACCACTTTGTAGGTACAGTGCAGTACCATTACTTTATGTTGTGCCAGTGAATCCAATTGCCAGAAATGTCTGACTGTTTTCATGCATCTTTTTCTTAAATGCAAGAGGCTTCTACTGACTCTTAACAAGCATGCTTACCCAAATTTTGTTGCATGCTTTAAATAGCATAGCTATACACACGTGACCTTTTTTTATACTCCTTTCCTAGTGCACCAACCTTCCACAAGGATAACAGGACTGGGAATAAAGTCAGATGTAACGTGATCCTATAAAACTGTAGTAAGCTTCAGAAGTAAATCTTTTGATCTTTCCCTATCTTGATTATCTCCAATATCAATGCACCCATACTTGATCTAAAGGAGATAGTATTGACAATCATGACATCTTTTTACAAAAAACCTGAATCCAAAGTTAAAACTTAAGCAAGACACAGGTGTACTGCCTATAGGTAGTTCTGAGTAGGAATGCAAAAGACTAGTTATTTTTCAGTGCTGCATTAAAAAAGTTGGGTTGCTGCTATTAAAAAAGTACTCAAAGGCTTAAGAGAACACAGAAATTTTCTGCTAAGTTGTGTGTGAGGAAAACCTCATCTTGGAATTTAGAAATCTGCAGGTAGCATCCATAAATATAGTATTTACTTTCAATGCAAAACAATCAGTGAGATTAAAGTCATGGAAGGTTTTCCTATGAGCCTACAGTCAGTATTGTTTACATGAAGAAACCCTCTATTGATGTATTGCTATTTTTCATGGAGTCATAGGCACAGTATGACTTCTGCTCCCAAATACGTATGCCCATGTGTAAATACTACCTTGCATTTAATTGTTCTTTCACAATTGTTTTGTGCCCCTTTTACTAGAAACACATAAAAAATATAGCAAGACAAGACCTAAATAGAGTTTATTTTATTCTCAGAGCCTGGACTAGAATTATCTGAAATATCTCTGGTTCTTATATGGAAGACTATAGTTTTTTATTTCAACCCAAAAGTAAGCATTGAATCTGGTGGATAAATTTAGATCCTCCATTCATTGGTGTTTTGAAGAACCACTTGAAATTGAATGATTTTGTTTAAAAAATTATATCTGGCTTAGACGCTCATGGATTAAAAAAGAAAAACAAATTTTAGTCCCAGTTGGCCTATTATAAAAAGCCAGAACCATTTTATAACTAAGAAAAGTAATCATCATTATTGCACCTCTTGTTGCATTCAGCTGTGTGCATTAATAAAATAAACCTGGAATTTGCACTATTGTCATTTCACTAATAGGATAAGACATACTTTTGATTTGCAAAAATTTTTCTTCATGGCCAAGTGTCTGTCTCTGCCTGAGGTTTTGTCTATCTTATAGTTTCAATTCATAAAAATGAACTTGTTCTAATTTTTTTCCAAAGTCATCCTTTTCTTATGATCTTTTATTTTCTTATCATTTCAGTATCTTGGGAAAAATACCAAAAAAATATGTGTCTTTTAATTTTCTATGTTTATGATCTTTGAATATTTTTAACTGTTTTAATCACAAGCCCTCTCTATAATGGTAAATATAAGACATTATCACCATTTTCTCACTCCAGAAACATGTTATAGAAAGTTTCTATCTGGTTGATAAAAGCAACAATTTTTTCCCACTAGCACTAGACAGACTATAAAAACCACTAGAGCATATGATGCAATTTTTTGTTCCCTACAATGAGATATACCTAGTGTAAAAAAAGAAAATCTGGTACTGTAATATATTGTTTTCATTATATAATATGTCAGATTTATGAACTACCCACACCTTTTCTTAATACTCATTGATACATTTAGAGAAAATTTTGTAAGTTAGAGTTTTAACAGTTAAAAAAAGAGAAAAAAACCACTGTTAGGCTACTATTTAAGTAATTGGAACCACCAATTATTTCATTAGAATGATTCATTAAATTAAAAGTATGGAAAGAATTAAAGGATTATGAGCTAAGCTGTATTTTAATGGTTCATTTTAAAAGACAGAGGCTTTATACATCTCTACCAGCGGCCCAACCAGAGGTCTCTTGCCTGGCAGCCCTAAAAGGATGTAGAGGTTGGACCACCCTCCCTCCGTATAATCACCCACCAGTACATCAGCAATTTAGCCAGTAAGAGTACCTTCTATGAGGAAAGTAAGTATGTGTGGGAATCAGATTTCTTTTGTTGTTGTAATAACGCAGTTCCAGGTTTTTTGCTATTTACACTATAGCATTAGACTGACATAGAGGAAGTGAGTGGGTTTTCCTGAGTGTCCAAGATATGATTAAGGAAGAAAACAAAACCTCCAGGAAGGTCCCAGGCAGGAAAGAACTAGACAGACTGTAAAAACCAAAGTGACCCTCCAATCCAAAGGGACAGATTACAAAACAAAAAAGAGTTTAAAAAAAACAAAGTGAACATTTCCATCTTTTTTTTTTTTAATGGAGGGGAAAGCATCAATATTAAGGCAGTAAGAAGATAGGCAATGGGCTTTGTCAGCGTCTTTGTGGTCATTACCAGTCAGTCTGACAAAATCAGTTCTCTGGTGGCCAGTGGTAATTTAAGGCAGCTTGCCTGATAATTTCCTGTGTATATGAAGTGTCTTGCATTTTTTATGTTAGCTATAATTCCTTCAATCACCTCACTGAAACCCATAATATTCAGCAAACCATTTGAAGAGCTATTTTAAATAGAGGAAAAAGCAAACGCATCTATCTCTCTAATTTACCCAGAAAAATGGACTTTCTGGTTACATCTTCATATCCTTTTCATCTTCATATCCTTTAGCAGCATAATGAGTCTACTCACTTATCTTTCTCAAATGTTAGTAAATATATTGTTAATAGGAAGTTCTGAAATTTAAGTGAAAATGTATTTAAGGAAATAGAAGAATTGAGTACATCCTTCAAAAATCACCAAATCTTGAAAATGAGAGATGAGTCCTTAAAACCCAAGGCAAAAATAAAAAAAAGTCAGATTTTATACCCTGCAATTAATTCAGTGCTGGATTGGCATATATATAAGCTACTACATCTATATATATAGTAGCTTATACTTAAAAGAGAAAAAAATCTGCATTAACACTGTATGTCCTGATATAGACTACATTGACACATAAAGCATCTTATTTATACTTTATAGAGTCAGACACAACTTTAAAAAATTATACTATAGTCACAATAGAAAAAGGCAATCTTATCTACCACAAGTTGTATGTCCACAAACAGTGAGAACTTTCCTTCCTTCCTTATTCAAAAATTTCTTCAGTCTGTTATTATTTTTATTTTTTTCTTACCAAGTTGTGATTTGATGTTATCATTTTTAAGTGGCCCCTAGTAGCAAATATCAAACAGAGAAATTTTCCTCAGAGGAGGTGGCTAGAATTAAAATAGTACAAGATATATGAATTTATGTCATTTTCCTCAGTGTGGTAGAACTGGTTAAGCATTCCTAAATTCCAACTATGTTAGGCCTATCCTTACCAGTAAAAGTATATATACTTTGAGATAAGAATTAATTTCTTCACATCATTAGAGTATGTGTGAGTAGTAAGGAGCCACTGAAATTCAACTTATTTACAAAATTGTCCCTTTGGGCTCTTGAAATGGCTAATCTTTTACTGTTGAGTATTTGCTCCCTTCTCACTGGTGAGATATACTACATGGTTTTACTTGACAAAGCAGAATGAACTTCTGTCCTTAGAGGGAAAAGCAGTAGCAGAATTCATCATCAGATTAATAGGAACATCTTTCTGGGAGGAAGGAAGCACATTTCCAGATAGTTCCAACCCAGGTTTCAAAGAGGAGCATTAGGCTCTACTAATGATAGGCAGTGACCAAAGGGTGAGGGGACAAAGGTAGAATATCCCCCAAATCATTCTCATTTTCACTGTCCATTTACTTTTTATAGTCATTAAGCTTAAGTTCTGTATGGAAATTCAAAGCACCATTAGCATTTCTGGAAAGTGGCTTTTCTAAAGATAAGGTCTTACCAAATTAAGAAATCCTGTTGTATATGTTGTAAGATTTCTGGCAAAGAAATGGGGAATCCTGTGGCAGCTATTCCCACCTAAAGCCAACCCTATATGAAAGGGTCACTTTTAGTTAATGCTAGGATTTACTGCACACAAAAAATGTCAGCTTGTCGAATTGCTAGCACAGCCGCACGTGTGAGCAAAGCACTGTTGGTCATTGTTTCTCAGTGGGGGTGCCCTTGGCATTCGGAGCCGGGCAATACGTTGTTGTACAGAAGTGTTCCATGCATTGCCAGGTGTTTAATATCCTAGGCCCTTGGTGATGAAGTGCCAGGAGCATTCCCAGTCATTATAAATTTCAAAAGCAAAAAGCCTTCCCTCAGTTCAAATGCCCTTCTTAGGAGGTAGTACCACTTCTCCTGAATACCACTGTCTGCTGCAATTGGAGGACACAGAAGAGAAAGTGCCTATCCCCAAACACTGTCTTTGCTGCCTTGCATTTCTTTGGGCCCTGAATAATTTTCCCCCTTCCTTTTTCAAGCCTCTGCTTCACCATATCTTTAATTTGCTGGTTCTTTGGGGAGGAGGTTACCAGGCTGCCCTGGCAGTTCAGTGGGCATAGTGACTTGGCCTGGTCCTTGTAGATACTTAAAGAGGAGACTTTGTATGAAGCAAGCTTTTTTTTTTTCTGCCTCACAATTTTACTTTAGAACTACATTATTGGTCATAATCCTTGTCAGTGTCGTGAGGATTGTTGCATGGGTTAAACGCAAACACAACAACTGACAATCCACATACACAAAGCTGGTGGTCTTTGGAAATGCATCACCATTAGATTTCACCTGGGAATGCTGCAGCCCATGAGTTCCAAATGGATCACCTGCTGATCCTGTTAACGAAGCATTTAATCCACATGCAAATGCTTGAATTCCCCCTGCATAAATACAGTCATGCGGTTCAACTCCTCCAATAAGATTTGTGAATCCTGCACTCTGACGGAAATGTGGATTAACTGTGGATTGCATGCATATTGTGCATGCTTCAGTGATGATCACACAAAACAAGATGAGTTTTACCTACGTGAAACATCATTAAACCGTACTAACGAAACAGAAACATATTCTCATTTTTTAATCACCAAAACAAAATAGTAAATACGTCTTGAAATTATTTGGATGAATTGTGGCTAGTAGAATGGAATTAATTTAGCTGCTATCATTTTTTAAAATATTACAATTTCTAAAATTTTTTTTGAGGCAGAGCAACTCAGAGTCAATAAAGGTGGTTATATTGTAAACTTTTAGATGGTGCTTAAGAATTCTTATCTTTTTTAATGCAGTATTTTTTTTTTTTTTAAAGAATACATTGAAAGGAGTAAATGAGGCAGAATGCCACTCTACCCTCAGGTCCATTTTTGGTATATTAAAATGCCAATAATATTTGTGCCACTTGCCAATTTGGGAGTCTCTTCCCTTGCTGGATGCTTTTGTTATATTTTATCATTACATTGCTTAGAGAGCCTCCACAATGAGAAGTTGCCACTGCAGTGCTAACTATCATTCAGAAATAATCAGAATGAGTCAAAGGTTAAACCACTTTCATCCTTTAAAATATAGGCACTAATTTATAGTTTTCTTTTTAAAATATTTCTTCTGTGGCTTAGAAATGTGCTAGTGTGTTCAAAACATTCTGCAACAGATTTTGTACCTACTAAAAAGTCAAGCAAGTCATTTTTTTTTTTTCTGTGTAAGGGTGATTTTTAAATAACGGACCATATGTGTTCGTTTGTTATTTCAAGCGTCAGTTAAAGTGATAAGAACAGTAAGCTGTGATCATTATCAGACTGACTGAATGATTCCTGGTTTCCAGTGAGTGATCTAGTCCTACATATTACACAGGTATAATATCTGTGAGTGTAAATAACTGGAACTATACACTGATTAACATGACAGTTTCTCTTTTGTTATTGTTCTTATCTGTACTGTATTATAGTATGTGGGTATAAATATCTACAAGTATACACACATATGTATATGTATTCCACTATTGTAACCTGAAAGAAAGACTATGTATTCTCTTTTTTATTCTGTACTGGTGTTTGTGTTATTTAAAAAGCAAAATTATGCTCTATTTAGTTGTATAATATTATAGGAATACCTTGCTGTGCACAATTCCAAGTGCCTTAGAACATTGTTTAGCTTTCCTAAGTATATATAAATGCATATATGTATAAAATTGGGAAAAGTTACCTCAATAAAATCATTGGGAAATCCCCAGTTTTAGTT